GCATCTTTCATTCCTGATTTTAATCTTTCTGTTGAAGCTATTTTAAAATGGCTTAGATCTATTTTTTCCTCCTAGGAAGTTAGGGTTATGAATTCTAAAAGATCCAAAAGATTATGGAGTTAAACTTTCTTGTTTGGCAGGTTAAAATTAAATAACTGCAGATGAGAGAAAACAGAAAAGCATGTCTCTAGTTCTAATGATAAACATCAATTTGGAATATTTTATTTCAATTCAGATGACTTCAATCTTTAAATCATAAAATTAGAAATCAATCTGTTATGTTTCAGTCAATTGACAAACCATTACCATAGACACAAAGACTAAATACAATAGGCATATTTTGAAAAATATTTCCCATTTCCTGCTAACAAGGTATGCTGAGCTGCTTCTTGAAACTGTTGGCAGAAGAAAAAATTCTGTGTAGGATGAAGTCATAGGGAGACATTACTTTTGAGGTGCTTATAGGTAACTTGGTTACAAGTCCCTCTTTACCAGTATAGCAGACAGAATAGAAGATAGATCCCAAAATCCCTGCACCTTTTATTCATAGCTTGGGGTGGTCTATCTCTTTTAATATTGCTGTGGCCTGTAATTTGCTTATAATCAATAGAATATAGCATGGGTGATGGCACATCACTTCCCTGATTATATTACATAGGATTCTAACTTCCACCATGCCTGAAGACTCTCCCTTTTGCCAGCTTTAATGAAGCTAAGTGGCAGTGTTAAAAGACCCACATGGCAAGGAACTGAGGGTGGACCTAAGCCAACTACTGAAGATCCTCAGTCCAAAAGCCTAAAAGGAACTGAGATCCTCAGTCCAAAAGCCTAAAGAGGAATTTAATTCTACCAGAAATTATGGAAGTGAACTTGGAAGTAGATCCTTCCCAATCAAACTCTCAAATGAGGCCCCAGCCTTGGCCAACATTTTGTTTGAAGCCTCATCAGAGAACTTGAAAAAGGTGACTAAGCTAAGCCATGCTTATATTTCTAACCCACATCAAATGTAGATAATAAATGGGTGTTGCTTTAAGCCTCTAAGTTTGTGATGATTTGTTATGCAGCACTCAATAACTAATAAAGCTCACATCTATGGCAGGAGAATAATGACCCCCCCCCCAAAGATGTTCTCAATTTCTAGAGTCTCTGACTTTGTAGATGTAGTGAAGTTAATGATGGGGTGGTTATCTTAGATTCCAGGGAGGACTAATTAATCACAAGGATCTTTGTCAGTGAAAAAGAGTCAGGGAGAGGTTTGAAGATGCTGTACTGATGGTTAGGGAGGGGCCATTCTCCAAGGAACACAGGCAATCACTAGAAGTTGAAAAGGGCTCCAGAATGAATACAGCCCTGCTAGCAACTTGATTTTAGCTCAGCAAAACCCAATTTACTATCTTACATTTCTGACCTCCAGAAATGAAAGGTAGTAAATTTGTATGGTTTTAAGCTACAAAGTTTATAGTAATTTGCTAATACAGTATCTATGATTACCAACATCTATGATGAGTAGCAATAGTCCTTCTCCAGGGGCTCATCTGCTCCTAACAGCTACTGCACTATAACTGTGAATATCAGCTTCCTTTTCCAAAAGTAAACAAATAAATATGTTGCCACTGAGCATCATTTGATAGAAAATTACACTTGTCCCTCTGTTTTATGGGTCCATTCATTCTCTTGCCCACTCCACCACCTCATGATTTATTCTGAGCCTTATTCATCATTCTTGTGTTTAACCTTTTTATTGTTTCTTCCTAGGATCAAAGACTTTTGGTCAAGGACTATTTGAACTCAAAGAATATGATCTATTCAAGTCTATATAAGTAAAGAGAGATCGGAATAAGGTAGCCAGCATACCACAGAGGGCATAATCAGAAGGAAACTGTACTTCCCCTACCCCTGTTAATCATTTATAATAGCTCCCTATGGTCATTTGTAACCCTTAACAAAATCTCAGGTTGATCCCAGAAATGTATTCAGCATGCTCAGAAAAATTCTCCAGTCACTTGTACCCTTGTGATTACAATAATTTATAATCTAATTAAAATGTTCAATTGTCATGGAATAGTTAAACTTCCAACTCCACAAATTTGTCCCTTGCCCCAGGTTTTCCTTCAGGTTTGCAGTGGGTTAAGGGGCATTGTCAATGCTTTCTCTAGTTTCCAACATTCTTCTCTAGCCTTAGCTCTTTCAGATTGAAATGGGGCCAGGGTGGTGAGAGTTTTCTCTCAATAAAGTTTTCACTTATTGAAACCAATATAATCTAGCATTGGTTTCCTCTATTCATGCAACATAATGATGGTTGATTCTTCCCCTTGTAAGTGTGTCTGTATATTTCCAGAAGATTTCTCTGCTGAGTTGCTCCAATTGCAGCCCCATCAAGTCAGATAGAACCCAAGGCCTGGTTATGCCCAGTATTCCTCAGCTTAGCCATCTTTTGGCTAATGCCCTTTCACCCCTGGAAGAAGTTTAGTTGATCAGGAGGCCTTTGCGAAATGATCCCAGGGTAACATTTCTTGCACATCTTACCCTAGGAATCACACTTTGTGCCTGGCTGAGTGGAAGGATAGTGATTTCACACATGTAGCCTCTACTCTTCAGGCATATGCTACTTCTGCCAGCTTCTCCCTGTTTCCTTTTTTCAATTTTAAATTAAGTCATGAATCAGACTGAAGGTGAATAAGGGGTTAAGGATTACAAATTCTCCTTTTCAACACCCCCTTGGAACATCATCCAGCACCTTTCTTTAGCATGTGGAGATGATTGGCATCTATCAGCATGGGACCTCAGCTGAATCTGTCTAAATCCATTTTGGCATCCTTTAACATATAAACACATATGGCTTTGATCTTTTTTTTCTTCCTAGGATTGAGTTAGGAATCCTAAGGGATCTGAAGCACTATGGAATTAATTCTTCTTGTCTGGCAGGTGATGATTAAGTACTTACAGATGAGAGAAAACAGAAGTAAAAGCTTGTTTCCAGAATGATGATAGATATCATACTGAGAAATTTTACATCAATTATTTTATTTCTAATGGAACAGTGAACAACCAGCCCTCAGGAATGGTGGGAATTAGAACTGTTCCAAGGACTACTGGCATCTGCATCCTTTACTCAGATGCTCTGCCACAAATGTGTCTTGGCTCCCAACTCTCTTAGTCTCTGTGTCTCTTAATAGTAATTCTGGAGAGAGAAAATTTGATTGGCTCATTTTCAGCACTCAGTCCCATCAGCTGGTCCCAGAGGCTGAGTTCCCAGGACTGCTACTGAGGGCTGTGAGAGCAAATTTGGACAGAACAAGCCAGGCAGGGCAGACAAGTTCATTGACGTGGCTGCCATACTCACAGATTCTTTATGCTGTGGGGCTGTGTCACATTTCTTATTTCCTCAATGTTTATTATTTCCTGTGAAGAGTGGAAACTAGGGAACATTACTTTGCTTCTGTTTATGTTGCTTTCTGCATATTTGTCTCCTATCTGCTGTCTCAGAGATGGACACCCAACTTCCCTTCAACCCCTCACCCCAACACATTCTATTGCAGGGAATATCCATATCCCCTTAAAGCATAGTGGAAGAATTTCTTTGTGAAGTAAAGCTGGAGTAGACTGGCTGGATAACAGTGTTTTGACAGTGATGTTGACCTGGTGATGCCAGATTGCTCCTCAAACTGCTCCATGTGTCTACACATGTGCCCACCAGCAGGGCACGATCCTTATCTTACCCACTGAAACTACATTTGATTATACTGTTGCTCTGTCTACTGCAGTTATTGGGCTCTCTGTCAGTCTTGAAAACTAAGAACTTGTGAGAGAAGCTGGGCCACTGTCAACAGTATGCTATCTACCTGCTGCAGTATCCCTATCAGCCTACGTGTCCTGGTTCTTTCTGGATTTATAGTTCTAGTTCTTTTCCTGCCCTATTCATCCCTCTCCTCCTGTACCTCACTCTCTACCTCAAGATTCACATCACCTTTGACAAATCAGTAGTTCATGGTCCAAATAGCCAGGATGAGTAGGTGAAGCCACAAATCAGTGAGGGAGGTACGATCTGCAGTGACTTTTCTCAAAAGAACAGAATTACAACAGATCCCTTTGCCTTTATCATTCAGGCAATAAATCACAAAAGCAGGTAATTAATTACAGCCTAAAGTAAAAAAAGTCAGCTCCTTTTCAACAAAATGGCAACTGACCTTTCTCTTACTTACGATACAAAAGAACAAAGAAAGGAAGGAAGAAAAATATTACAACCCATAATGTGATTTTTCTCCAGGGTTTGAGTCATTTGGAAGGTTTGGGTTACTTGGAGGAAATTAAATAAACCCTTATATGACATTATTCTGCTTTACTATGAAGGGTTCCCTGTTGTGAGCAATATTTCCCAATTGGTGCCTGTCTGAAATACTTATCAGCTCAGGGTCCTTGGCACTGGACGTACAGAGCTGAACGGTGTGGGGAGGGATGTTTGCTGGGATGCTGTTTTTACATAAGCAACCTCCAATGACATTTATCTTTCGTAATGCTGACCCTGAGAAGATAATTATGTTCCCCAAGTTGACAGAATTTTAAAAATCCCTTCCCCTTGCAGAAAAGTACAGAAAATTTTAAGCGGCAAAGAAAAGCAGGCTAAAGGAAAATCAGAAGGGGAGAATCAATTCTGAGAGCAGCAAAAAGCGTAGAGACTGATTGAGTTGATGCTTCTAAAACCGTTCTTCCCTCTCCAAGTCTTATTTTAGGGTCCTGCTGTTCGGCAGCACAGATAATATTGCCCAATGTAATCCGCCTAGGAAGCTTTCAATTGGACAGTTTGTTACACTCGGCAAACACTTGATTTTGGTTTTCTCTGTGGTCTGAAAGCCCTCTTCTGAGCTGTTTGATTTACTCTGCCCTGAGAGCCTAAGAAACATTGGCCAACACATCACACATTTCATTTACAAAGAAAACTGTCACTGTTTGAGTCCAGGCTCTGTGCATTTTGTAAATATGTTTGTTTCTCTCTCTTACAGAAGCTGCAAAGAATCAATACTCCTCACTGTCATTCAGCCTTACCCTGTAAGTGTTCTGTGAGTAAAAGTGCCACTGAATGATCTTGGAATTCTAGTCTCCCCACCCACTTTACAGAAGTCATGACAATGAATAACAGCAGAGAAAAATAACATGCATTCACAGTGCAGACTTGGAATTCTTGAGTATTTGTACTTTGTACTCCGCATTAGCAAAGCCATCTATTGGAGAGGAAAGAAAGTTATGTGTTTCCTAAATATCTTGAAAGACAATCAGCTATTCAGCCCTATGAAATTCTCGCATCTAGAAATAACACCAAACTCAAGACTGTGGTTTCCGGCTTAAGAATCACAAGTCTTATGGGAATATCTAATTGTAGGAATTTGAAGAACAAGTTTTATTCTTATCTATGTCTAAATAAGTTGGTAAATAACTGGATATTTTGCCTGCTTTAAAGGTGGTCCTCGAGGAAATATGATTTGTCTGAATTTGATTTCAGCTACCTTGGTTCTGAGGATGGAAAGAGATTAAAATCATACTGAATTTAGTTCCCATGATTTTAAAAAAACAATGATCATGGTATAATTTGCTTACCATAGGATTCAACCATTTTAAGAGTATAATTCAATAGATTTTACAAAATTTACTAAAGTATGCAACCATCACCACAGTCTGGTTTCAGGAAGTTTTCATCAACCCAATAAGATCCCTGTTCCCACTTACAATTAATCCCAGTTCCCACGCTCAGTTCCAGGCAACCACTAATTTACTTTCTATTTCTATAGACTTGCTGTTACTTGTGAATTTTATAATTGTCAGTTAAACAAAAAATACTAAGGCAAATTCTTTCAGATTTCTCCCAAAATGATTATCATCAATCAGTACGTTTGTTTGCCCTTCACATGGAGGGGCAAAGATTCCAACCTGCTTAGTCTTCTACTTCCTTCACCATAGAATTGGAGCACTTCTCCTCTCCCATCCCAAAATTTTCCTGAGAGCAGTGGGCTAGGCATTTTTTTAAAGAGAGAGAGAGAAAGAATTTTTTAATATTTATTTTTTAGTTTTCGGTGAACATCACATCTTTATTTTATTTGTATGTGGTGCTGAGGATGGAACCCAGCGCCCCGCGCATGCCAGGCAAGCGCGTTATTGCTTGAGCCACATCCCCAGCCCAGTCTAGGCATTTTAGGTAGAAAAAAAATGTATTCAGAATTCTGATAAGACCACAAACAAAACTAACCCAGACAATAAATTATAATATAATATTACTGGTACTAGATCTCAAATCTTGGTTCTTTCAGATCCAGAAGCCTCAAATTCAAATGCACATGTTTAAATTCAGTAAAAGAGATGGAACTAAGAGGTTTTTTTTAATATATGTCCTGGATGACATAATTTATTGTCTAGTGATTTTCATAGCTGTCCAGAACTTTCAGTCCCTTATCTATATGAGAATTGGTTAAGATCATATTATTTCCAAGGGCTCCCTTTTGCTACCATCTCATGATTCTGTAATTCCTACTTTAATATAAAGTACAGATGGGCTGTTTTCAGATTGTTTTATTTAACCAAATCATCATTATCACCTACTTCAAATCTATCCATACTTCGTAATTTGTAGGTTGCAGGAAAATACATTTTGGTAAAGCCAATGTAAATGTCTATTGTAAGTAGTAAGCAAGTGATTATAAATCACTGGTGGAACTTCAAGTTTACATTGTTTTTCTGGAATTCTCTGTCCCTAATTTATAATCTATTAGAAATGCAAGACTAGAACCATTTTTATTCTAAACCAAATTATTTTTGTAGTAGGTCATACTGGAAATTCTCTGTTGTGGGACTGTCATGTACAATATTTAGCAGCATCCTTGACCTCTACGCATCAAATGCTAACAGCACCCTTTTCCCCAGTTCTGACAACCAAACATGCCTTGAGACATTGCCAAAAGTTCCATGAAAAGGGAATTGCCCCCAGTTGAGAACCACTGTTCCTCCTAAAGTCTTGTCTTATTCTAGTCATATATGACCTTTCTCTTCTCTGAATTGTGGGAATTCATACTCTGAAATTATTTCAATAGACACATTAGATATGGACAAGAGGACAAATGGGAGAAAAGACTGCAATTTTTTATTTGTATGTTTATGTTTGGATTTTCCTACCAGAAAATTGTTTCTTTAAAATATTGGGTTTCTTTTATTTGCTAAGTATCCTTTTGGCAACCAGGATTGACATACAGAAACAGATGACAAAGCAGACCAAGAGATAATTCATAAATTCTACTTTTATTATAGACAATAAAAATTAACATTTTAATTTATTTTGCAACTTGCACACTAGCACTTTTTATGTTACTTTCATTTCTTCTGAATTATAAGGTCCAGTAAAGACAAGAGAACCAATATTTATCCAGCCACAGAAATCTATCTCCAGGAAGGCCCAGGTCAAGGGGACCTGGCAAAAGTCTAAGGATCCATGAAATTTCTTGATAATTTTTTAAAAGTATTATGAATGACTCTCTCACCCTACATTTTTACTGTTCTCACTAGGAAATAAATGTAGAAATACAGAAGAAAATTCTGAAGCAGAAAAATTTTTAAAAAATTAAAAATCAGTAAAACTTTTTCTCAGGGGCAACCAAGTGTAAACATTTCAAACTATCTCCTTCCAATCTCTTTTTTCTATGCCTTATTGGTAGCCAATATCATATTAGATGCTCAGTTGTATCTTGCTTCTTTTACTTAGTATTTCATAAGCATTTTTGCATGTCATCAGCAATTCTTTATAAGATTCTTTTAACTGGCTGCAAAATGTTACCTTGAACTGTTAACTAAGCCACTATCATTGGGCCCTTCACACTGTCTTTAATGTTTTACTATTATAAATAATTCTGCAGATTAAATTGTTGTGTGTAAATCTCTGTATTTAGTAGTATTTTCCCAGGATGGTGTGTGTGTGTGTTTGTGTGTGTGTGTGTGTGTGTGTGTGTTTGGTGCTATGGATTGAATCTAGGGCCTCAAGCATACTAAGAAGTGCTCTACCATTGAGCACTTCCCAAATTACCTACCTGCTTGGTAGTCCTTGTCTTAAAGTTTGCTTTGTGGGGACTCAAAACTAAGTTACCCATTGATAACTGTAGGGTTATCCTTACCAAATGTTTCACTCAATGTCTGTTGTATAAGAAGTATCATAGAGCTACAGGACTACAAGTTCAAGAACTTACACTTCAGTTTCAGGAATCAATCTTATTTATGTAATTTTTCAAACTATATTCTAGTTACTTCTAAGAGCATCTGACAACATCAGGAGCATTACCACCCTCTATTGTGACCATCTTAGCCAAAGCAAATTTGGAAAAGGGTACAAGATTTAATTAATGGCCTACTAATCTTACAATTAACAGCAGAAGAATTTGATTATTCTAAATGAAAATCATCATCATTTCCACCACAGGATAAGAAATTGTTATAATAAGCACCTATAAATTGCAAAGAATTAATTCACCAGGTTTTTGAGTGGTGCACCTTGTGCTTTTTTTTTTTTTTTTTTTTTTTTTGAGTAACAAAGAAAATTGAGTTCAAACTGTAGTTTACACTATACCATCCATCAGTATCTCTGGCCAGTAAAGTAAGCCATTACTTTGTTGATTCTCATTAAGTAGCCTTCAGAGAGTTTATGTTTTTATTTTCAAAAAGTATTTTTTAAATGTAAATTGAATATATGAAACAGTCATGAATCCAGAACAAGAAAAATGAACTTGTGAACTATTAGACTTTTATCAAAGCTCAGTTAATTTCAAATTATATATAAACTAATATTTATTTAACAGCCTTGGCCATCTAGTAGTGTCTTTTCTGTTCTTCATAGATTACCATGTTTGTCAGTAGGGCATAGTAAATAAATACAGTAATGAGGCTACCAGAGATGGCATGTTATACCTACAGAGAAGACAGAGAATCCCCAGCTTGGCAAGTTCTACTTGAGTCATTTACTGGAGTCATTTACTCTACGAAGAAATAAACCTATGTACTTCCATGACCCCTAGGAACATCACTGCATTCTAAGATTATACGAAATTATTTCATCCAAAAACTAAGTTCCATTAAATATACATATTTTTAAAAATCAGGATTGAACCTAGGGGTGCTTAATCACTGAGCCACTTGCCTAACCCTTTTTATTTTCTATTTCAAGACTCCTTATAGTCGCCCTAAATTGCTGAGGCTGGCTTTGAATCAGCGATCCTCCTGCCTCATCCTCCCAAGCTGTTGGGATTACAGGTGTGTTCCACCATACCCAGAAAACATACTTTTTTTATTGACACAAAGAATTCTGTAGAACATTCTAGAAAATGTGGTAAAATATTTTTTTAAAAAAACAGAATACACAGAGGAGTAAAGTTCAGTGTCTAAAACCTTGAACACATGTGAAATATTTCATTCCCAAACAATGCTGGAAAAGTAGGTATTACTGCATTGAAACATCTCATCTAATTAGTAGTGTCTGTTCTGGGTAGCTTTATTACAGGCGCTTCACTTGTTGTGCCAAAGTAAATACTGCCTGCTTAAAATCATTAAGGGAGAATAATGTTTTCCCTTCAGCTAAAAAATGGCATATCAAAAGCAAATGAACTCCCCACTGTATGATTTGCTCGTTAATCATCACTAAACTTGGCCTATAATTACACAGATACTGATGAGAACACCACTGTCATATCACTTAAGCTCTGTAGTAGGACTTCTAAAACTTGAGCATGTTTAAAGATGGGTTCTTTTGAGGGAACACCCATTCAGAGTTCTTTTGGTTTGGGGGGTTTAATTTTTGGGGTTTTTTTTTGTTTTTGTTTTTGTTTTGTTTATTTGTTTATTGTAATAGTGGGAATTAAACCCAGGAGTGCTATACCACTGGGTTACATACCCAGAAATTTTTGAATTTTATTTTGAGATAGGGTCTCACTAAGTTACCAAGGTTGGACTTGAACTTATGATCCTCCTTTCTTAGCCTCCTGAATAGCTGGGATTACAGGTTTGTACCACCACTATTTTGATTTTGTTTTTTTAAGACAGCAGCCATTCTCTTAAAATGTCTTTCATAGGTGGATCAGTTGAAGTTCTGGAGAACTAAACCATCCATTCATCCAGTCTTTTAAGACAGTAGTCATAGCAAATGTTGGGAGTTGTATAGGTATAGAGGATATCTTTATAAATATTAGGATTATCCTAGTATTAAGGCAAAAACTGCACACAAGAATACACACACACACACACCACATACACATTTTATCATGTTTTTTCATCAGTGGCTGGCTTTTTATTGTAGTGAAATACATATAACATAAACTTGGCCATTTTAAAGTGTGCTATTCAATGACATTAAGTATATTCATAATGTTGTATAACATTGCCATTCAATAATGGTTCCATAACTTTTTCACTACCCCTAAAGGAAACCTGGTATCCATTAAAGTAATCATTCCCCAGTCTCTCCTCTCCCTGCTCCTGGCAACTACTAATCTACTTTGTTTCTATGGAATTTTCTTATTCTGAATATTTTACATAAATGGAACTATATAATATACAGTCTTTTATGAGTGACTTCTTTCACTCATAATCACATTTCCAAGGCTCATCCATGTAATATCATGTGTCAGTATATTATTCTTTTTTATGACTGAACAATATTTCATTGCATGGACATACTACATTTTATCTATCCATATTATCATGATTGGTTTTAATTTAATTGATTGTATACTACTTGTATTGGACAAGAATGTGAATACTTTTTTTTTTTCATTTTACATGAAATCCAAAGTATGGGTCACCCTAACAGGTGTTTGTGCCTTGAGATTAATAAAATACACAGAAGATTCAACCTCTGTGTTGATTCTAGAGTCAATTAATAGAATTCATTATGCATCAGTCTTGATGTCTTGGAACTATATAGCATGAAAAACACTAGCCTGAACCCTAGGCAGTTGCCAATATTTGACCATTTTAGTTTATATGATTCATAGCTAAATATTTACCTCTTTATTAGGTTCTGTAAAAGAAAGTAACTCTTTTAAAAAATAGACAAATGATGCTGGTAACATAGTAGACATCTATTAGAGGTGAATTCCCTTCCCTTTAGGTGTCATTAAAATTATATGATAAGAATGATTCTCAAATTAAGCAACTTTATCAAAATCATACAGCAAAGAATCCCCCGATCCCAGCACCCTTCTAAATAGGTTCTTCCACTCCACTGGCAATTTCTGAGAGAGAAGTGTGTCACTCAGCCGCTCTTTCCAGTAAAAGAAGAGAAAGAATCATAAAGTGTGAAGAACCTATAAGGCAAAATTTTAATTCAATTTTCAATTCTAAGTTAAAGTCTCCTTCATACCCTGCCCAATAGTATCATAGATCACGGGTTACCAAAAAGAGGCTGAAACTCAGTGTGCAGATACATAAAACATCATGAGTGCTTGTGTGTGTCTGTGTGTGTGTGAATGTGTGTGAGTGTGTACTTGCTTGCTCACATGCCCATATATTCTAAATATGAATAACAATGGGAATATTGAACTTTGAGAGGTTCTTCTCTACCTCATTAAAATAGATGATTAATGAGCAAGTCATCAAAAACCCAATATTAGATTTGACCACCACCTCATCTTCCACATTGTACACAGGGCTCTGTATTAGAAGTAGGGTTTATGTCTATTCCTCCTATGCCCCCCTTTCCCTACCCCCACTATGAATCAGCCTCCTTATATCAGAGAAAACATTTGGCATTTGTTTTTTTTGGGGGGGGGATTGTCTAAATTCACTTAACAATATCTTCTCTAATTCCATCTATCTACCTGCAAATACCATGACTTTGTTCTCTTTTATTGCTTAGTAATATTCCATTGTGTATACATGCCACACTTTTTATCCATTCATCTGTTGAAGGGCATCTAGGTTGGTCCCACAGTTTAATTATTGTGAATTGTGCTGCTATAAACATTGATATGGCTGTGTCCCTGTAATATGCTGTTTTTAAGTCCTTTGGATATAGACCAAGGAGAGGGAGAGCTGGGTCAAATGGTGGTTCCATTCCCAATTTTCCAAGAAATCTCCATACTGCTTCCCATATTGGCTGTACCAATTTGCAGTCCTGCCAGCAGTGTATGAATGTACCTTTTTCCCCACATCCTCACCAACACTTGTTGTTGTTTGTCTTCATAATAGCTGCCACTCTGACTGGCGTGAGATGAAATCTTAGAGTAGTTTTGATTTGCATTTCTCTAATTGCTAGAGATGATGAACATTTTTCATATATTTGTTAATTGATTGTATATCCTCTTCTGAGAAGTGTCTGTTCAGGTCCTTGGCCCATATATTGATTGGGTTATTTGTTTTTTTGGTGCTTAGCTTTTTGAGTCCTTTATATACCCTAGAGATTAGTGCTCTATCTGATGTGTGTGTGTGTGTGGTAAAAATTTGCTCCTAAGATGTAGGCTCTCTATTTACCTCACAGATTGTTTATTTTGCTGAGAAGAAACTTTTTAGTTTGAACCCATCCCATTTATTGATTCTTGATTTTAATTCTTGCACTATAGGAGTCTTTTTAAGGAAGTTTGGGCCTAATCCCACTTGATGGAGATTAGGGCCTACTTTTTTTTCTATTAGACATAGGGTCTATGGTTTTATTCCTAGGTCCTTGATCCATTTTGAGTTTGAGTTTTATGCATGGTGATAGATAGGGGCTTAATTTCATTTTGTTGCATATGGATTTCCAGTTTTCCCAGCACCATTTGTTGAAGAGGCTATCTTTCCTCCAATGCATGTTTTTGGCACCTTTGTCTAATATAAGATAACTGTAATTATGTGGGTTAGTCTCTGTGTCCTCTATTCTGTAGCATTGGTCTACTGGTCTGTTTTGGTGCCAATACCATGCTGTTTTTGTTACTATTGCTCTGTAGTAGAGTTTAAGGTCTGGTATAGTGATGCCTCCTGCATGGGGTTAGAAATGATGGTGGAATGTGATGGACGTTATTATCTAAAGTATATGTATGAAGACATGAATTGGTGTGAATATACTTTGTATACAACCAGACATATGAAAAAATATACTCTATATGTGTAATATGAATTGTAATGCATTCTGCTGTCATTTATAAATTCAAAAAAAATTAATAAAAAAGAATTAGGGTTTATGTACTTTCACTGCTGTCATTTTAAAAGCTCCTTAGAAATGTTCTCAGTAACAACATGGAACATGCTTTTCATATTTCTGGTCTGGTGACTAAATCCAACTTATTAGTTTATGGGCATGACAGGATTTCAATTACATTCAAAATTTGTATTTCTTCTTTAAGTTGGGAATGTACCAAATATTCTACATTTTAGCAAAAGTATTACATTTCTTGGAGGATGAAGATGAAAAACAATTGTTACATGGTTCACATTATGTTATCAGTAACCAGATAAAATATTTTCTTTCCTTCTAGTCTCCCAAATCAGCATTTATTAGTGCTGCAAAAAAGGCAAGATTAAAGTCCAATCCTGTCAAAGTGCGATTCTCTGAGGAGGTAATCATCAACGGCCAAGTGTCGGTGAGTTTAGAGTCATCTGCTTTGTGACTGAGAGGGTCACAGAGGTAGGAGCTTAGCATTTAAGCAACGCCAGTAATTTGACTAGAATGATCAATCAAAACTAGTTGTTGTTTTTCACAGGCGTGTTGAATCTCAGGAATGTGAAGAGCTTAATAGGTCACCAGGTTGTAACTCAGGCCCCTTAACATAGCTAGAATATGTGATAATTCAATGTTTCCTAGAACATATTTAGGGTGAGAGTCCTCTCTGCTTTGCACCAGAGTTTATCTGATCTGTGTGCACTGACATGCCTCATTCATATTGGGTAAAACAGTCCTCTTTGAGACATTCACTGATTTCTTCCTATTGGGCCAACTAAGCATTGTTCCACACAATAGACTATTGTGTATTTTGAGAAAAGTATTATTTTTTCCTTATCAAAAATTTATGATCTTTGAACTTATAAAATAGCAAAAAAAAATTAAAATGATGGAAAGGTTTTATATATGCAACCAGAACTAAGGAAATATTGCTCAGATCCCCGTTAAATAGGTCTTAATAGAAAGCATGACTGCACAAGCATTCCATTGATCTTCAAAATGAATCATGCAAACATCAGTAGGATATTTTAGTTTCAATTTTTCCCAAAGAAAATAGTGTAGCTTTTACAAATCTTTTGTCCAAGGTACTAATATTTGGGGACAGCAGGAGGGGGGGTGTCTTGGAAATGCCAGATTTTGTTGTTGAATTTTGTTGTTGCTGTTAGCATTGTTTAAATAAATTCACAATGATAATATCTCATTTGTGATATTTTGTTATTGGTCACAAACTGTTCCCTGAGGTTGGTACTGGATCGGAAATGGAAGATGTAGGCCTGCACATCCTGGGCAAGGCACTTATGAGTCTTCTAGTCAATTTATATAGATGCCAGGGAGTTAACTGGTCAATCTGTCAAGACTATTGTGACACTTATGGAAAAGGGCCTGAGGCTGTCACTGTGTGCACTGTGAGCATTTTCTGCTGCCCTGTGAGCATGTTTGGTTCTGCTTACTTGGTGAATCCCCATCATTCTGGATACAGGGTTACCTTATATTATCTATTCACAACAATCTGTCCCAGTTGAAGGATGGAAGGAACAAAGCAATGAGTACATCTCTCAGAAGGTCATCTGAAAATTACCTTTTTTCCCAGAGTTTCTGAGCTTGAGATTGGGCATTTATAGAAGGAATATGATTCTAGAAGCTGTTGTAGCAAATGTCAATTAATCTCCAGACATAATAGGGCCCATAAAAGTTAGCTGGTGTATGAAGACAGTTCTGAGGGCCAGACATTCTTAACCTCCATTGCCTTGCCACAGGCTTATGGATGCTGGACCTTCCGTCCCATGTCTGTTCCTCAGCCTTTGTGACCTCTTCATGCCTAGTCTACCACCACTCTTCCTGGTTACAGGGTGCCATTCCACCTGGATGTGGATCCAGATTTACTCAATAAGTTGGGTTGCAGGAAAGTCATGTGGGAAGTCCATGGAAGTAGACAGGAAAGGCAGAGAAAGAAACAGGCATGTGAAAGGAAGGGGTTGCATTTACTGGGACTGTAAGTTACTGGCAAATGTTTGAGAATCTTGTCTGTAGTTCCCACAATCTTCAAACCAAGGGCCTTATGGTTTTATGTTTTCTGAGTCCCCCTCAGCCCCTGTGAACTTGGTAGCCAACTACATGTTCATAACTCAGTTCACCCCTAGGACTCATAGAACTCACACATACATGCCTCCTCCTCCCTCTTTTCTCTCTCTCACGACTTCAAATTAAAGAAAACATCTGGAAGCATACATTTCTTTTGGTTGTATTTCAAAGTGCCATCTCTTTTCAAGGTATTTCTAAATTGTGATCTGTTCATTATAGACTCAATGTTTGACTCTAACACACTAACCCATTCCTTATATTTTTCCTTTTGAGTTTAAAATATAGTTTCACACACAACTTTGCACTTCAGACTCATTAATGCTTGTGAGTCACCATCATGACCACTGCCAGGCACCAACTGCATTATATCACACAGCATCCCTACCGGTCCTTGTTCTGTTCAATTCATCCTGCCCTGCAGAAACCTGGGCTTGCTTGTACTTTCTAACACTGAAACTCAATTAAAAAGGGATCATTGTTATTTGTATTTTCCAATGAGTATTAGTTTTTTATTTTGTGATTAAAATAGACCGTATAGATATGTGTTGCCACTGGCCATAGTAGATTCCTAATTTGACTGACCTGCAACCTTCCCACCCCTTTTCTGTTATTAAACAGGAAACTGTTAAGGACAATTCACTTCTTTTTATGCCAAATGTTTTGAAAGTCTATCTGGAAAATGGGCAGACCAAATCATTCCGCTTTGACTGCAGCACCTCCATCAAGGTAAGATGACCTACTAACATCTGTACCTAGGCAGTGCCAGGTACAGAGTGAATGATTCGCACTGTAATGCCAGAATGGCAACACCTTCTTTCAGAATTATCCCTTTATTCCTATGAATGTGTTACTTGCTCCCATATAAGGTCACATATGAATATTTAATTTTTAATAACTTTATTTTATTCATTTATTTATTTTTATGTGGTGCTGAGGATCGAACCCAGGGCCTTGCACTTGCAAGGTGAGCGCTCTACCGCTGAGACATAACCCCAGCCCCCATGAATATTTAAAATCAAACAAAAACAAAAAGCTTAAACTAAGAAGGTTCTGCCCTTTTTTAAAACCCCCTTGTTGTTGTGAAACAATGTAATATGCTCCCAGTGAAGAAACACTAAGGCTAGTCATTTTAATGCAACTGCAAATTAATTAAAATAGTGTGACTGTCACCAAGAAGGTTTGGCACCCTGCCCGAAGCCAGCATGATTTCTCAGTAATGTCAGCCACCAAGAAGATTAAGATGTTAGCTGCTAATTGAATATCTGCTACTTTGGTGTCCAGCAAAAACAAGGGGTAGAATAATGTAAAGATTACAGTTACTTTTAATTGCTGTAACCAATTTCATGGGAATAATGCATAAAAAGTCAGAAATGAAGCATGCTTCTTAGGAGAAGTGGTAGAAAGGAAGTGTCACAAAGCAATCCTATGATTTCAGAGCCACGGGTGAATTTTACATAATAGCTATTATAGCAAACTGTACACCTATTTTTCCTCACGTTTCCTTCCTGGAAAAGAAAAATGCATATTCTTTTTTTTTATTATTGGACAAAAGTGTGTTCAGAAATGGATTGCTCCCTAATGCTTCATCAGCCTAAAATAGGCTTTCTTCAAATGGCACAGTAAAAAAGATTTTATGGAGATGCAAAACTACATAATGATAATCTGTACAATACTCTATCAAGAGAATATCGACTCTGGTTTAAAAATGTCTGTCAGTAGTCAATCCCTAATTCTATTTTTTTAAATTAATCAGCATAGACCTCACATGTGGAAGGATTTCTGAAAAGGCTCACTTTGAATTTTTATTGCCATGATACCAGCAAGCAGCTTGTCTTGAATTGCTTTAAACACGTGGTTATTTAGTAGGCAATAGAATAGACAATATTAGTAGATTGATGTTGGAGCATTAAGTCATCTTTCAATCATTCCAAATGATTTTAACTTCCGTCATACAAGACTGCTAATTTTAAATGGTGATCACTGAAAAAGTCATTTTCCTCTTTCCTATTCAATACCAATTTATAGTGTGATGTTAATCTTATTATTGATTGACAAATTTTTCCTGCAAAAGACAAAATGATAAATATTTTAGGCTTTGTGACTCATTTGATTGTTCAACTGTTCAATCCTGTCTTTGCATAAGGAAAATAGCCATAGACAGGTAGGTTTGGGAAATCCTCAAGACCACCCTCAGGTTTAATATTTCACTTAAAGGATTGAGAGAGCTTCCAGGAGTTATCCCCTAATGGATTCATGCTCACAATGCTCGATTATTCCAGAAATTATGTGTGACAATGTGCACGAAGTACTGTCAACCAATGAAGCTCACTTGAACCTTGGTGTCCAGAGTTTTTATTGGGGGTTGGCCATGTAAACAAACCTGGGTGACCTTAATGTCCAGCCCTTCAAAAGGTCAAGCTGATATTGCATGGCCAAAGGCCCCTACCATAAATACAGTTGTTAGCATAGATCAAGTGGTATAGCCCAGGGCCCAGGTTAAACAAAAATACTCCTGTCAGGCAGGACATTCCAAAGATTGAGAAGTTACTTCCCATGAATGGAAGCAAAGGGCCACATCTTTGTTTAGGCAAGGTTAATCTGTTAATGCAGAGATGATATGTGAACAAATGGGTATGTCCTGATTGGGCCCAAGGGCCATGGTTTGCAGACCTCTAAAGTAACCCATATAGCTATATATTACAACTCTAATACCATGGCCTTTTTTGGTTACCAACAAGTCAGTTCCTTGCCACTGAAATCCCTACCCCACCTGAAGCTATAGGTAAAGACTTTGATGGATATCTTAACAGAAACAAATCTAAATTTAAGAAAGCTCTGTTGTTAATTCCCTCTGGTGTCTTTATTATAGGAACCCACACTAGACTGAGTTTGATCTCCCCAAGGACTGCCAATGACAATGAGAAGACAGGGAGCAATGCAGAGTTCACATCAAATCAAACTTATCTTATCTTGCACCTAACAGCTTTATTATCACAATAGACAGTGGCTAGTAGGCGTAAAATAGAAATAGTACAGTTATGAAAGGAATATAACACTGTTTAATAAAAATTGCTAAAATTCTTGCTACAGAGTTATAATAGGAAAAAACTATAGCTATCAATTTTTAGTGTCCTCCCTAGTGGTTGGGGAGATGGTTTTATAAAGTATATGTTGCCATACAAAGAAAGGCTGGTTTTATTTTTCTCTTTACTGGGCCTTGTGCAGAAATTATGAAGCAGAAACCTTTTTGGTGAAATTCAGCATAGTCAAGGCATTTCTACTGAACAGTTTTTGTTTGGGGCATGTATGGTGGATATGGGGATTTTTTCCATATATTTTTGGTGCATTATAGTTATAATAGTATTGGGATGTGTTATTTCATATTTATTTGGATATGGGAATTTTGTTTTAAGAGGGCCTGGAGAAATTTTAAAAGGGCCACAGAGAAGAATCAAACATCAGAAAAGTCAGTAAAAGAAAACTTTATGTATGACAGGTTTCTCTATATTGACACTATTGGGATTTTAAACTAGATATTTCTTTGCTATAGGACTGTCCTGTGTATTATAAGATGTTTAGAAGCATTCCTGGTCTCTATACATTTGATTCCATTAGCATCCTCAGCCCAATTGTGACAACCAAAAAATGTCTCCAGAAATTTCCAAATGTCACTATGGGACAATATTTTCTCTGGTTGAAAACAACTGCTATACAGGAATTTAGCATCTGAATATAAGTTTTCTTGATGAGAGATAATTTCCTAATTTTCAATAACATGAAAAAAATAAAGATTAAAAAGATTCATTTTTGCCTTGCAGCAAATGTGTGTATATTTCTATATGGAATACCTTTCTGATCATAAATGTTTAATACTACAAATGATTACTGACAGAGCTTGTCCATTCCCCCTTCCACAGAGATGTAAAATAAATGTATACAATTATGGTGCCCTAACTCTGTGCCAAACAGTGTTTTAATAAATGTGTTCTACATATGAACTCATTTAATTCTCATATCCATTCCAAGGAAGTCATTATAATCATCCCCAGATTACAGATAGGGAAACTAAGATACTTATAAATTAAAAAACTTGCCCAAAGACGCACAGCTAATAAGAAGTAGAGCTGCAATTAAAAAGCAGACTATCTCCAGGCTGGGGCCATAGCTCAGAGGTAGAGCACCCGCCTCTTACGTGTGAGGCATGGGTTCAATCCTCAGCACCACATAAAAATGAATAAAGATATTGTGTCCAACTACAACTAAAAAATATTTTTAAAAAAGAAACCAGACTATCTCCAAAGTCTATTTTCCTCACCCTTTCCATATTCCTTGTGCAGAAAGGTAGACCAGGTGCCAGCTCATTCTGTAAAGGGCCAGATAACAAATATTTCAAGCTTCATGAGCTATTACTCAACTCTGTTGATATGATGTGTGAAAGCAGTATAGATAACAAAGAAATAGTCATGGCTGTGTCCCAGTAAAACTTTATTTACAAAAACAAGTGGTAGATTTGGCATTCAGGCTATACCCCTGAAGTAGACCACTTTCAAAGCTGGTTTAATAACTACTTCATATAGAAGGAGATTTGAACTAACTACATTACACCATCTATTGACACCCTTTCTAATTTAAGACATGACTTGGTAGGTAAGCTCCTCCTACAGCTGTGTACCTCTAGGTCTTGAACTCCACAAAGATGTTGGGTACTTGGGAGACCACGAAAAGGCTAAGAGAAGGAAGGCCTCACTTGTGTACTTTTTTGAAGCATTAAATTTCAGAATCAACCAAAGATATGCAATTTCAAGATGTAAAGCCTAAAAATATAATACTTTCCAGTCATGATAGACTCCAAAAAAGGGGAACCTTTGATTTTGATCTCATTATGTCATTATTTCCTCTGTAAGGATGTCATCTTAACCCTTCAAGAGAAGCTCTCCATCAAAGGCATCGAGCACTTCTCCCTCATGCTGGAGCAGAGGACGGAAGGGGCTGGCACCAAGCTGCTCTTACTTCATGAACAGGAGACACTTACTCAGGTCTGTGAAATTATACTCTCAAGTGTTGATGTTGCTGGTAAGAGCAGAGCCAAGCTTGTAGTCTCAGAATGTCCCTTCCTTTAATCCTTTCAATGTAGTAACTGCATCCCCTGTGTTCTCACTGAAGGGACCGCTGGCATTCAGGAGGCATTTTACCCCTCAAGAAGGATGATTCCCTTTTTGTCAATCTTTCATGGACCACCAGTTGATCTCCCAAACAGACTCATCAAAGACTCAGCAGCTACTTGTTGGCAATACAGCTCTGTAGAATTATATTTTATATTATTACAATGATTTGTTCCCCTATTTTGATCATTGATCTCTTGAAATCATTACAAAGAAATGATTTCTGAGATTATGTACATTAAGTAAAAATCAAATTTAGTTGTCTTAAATTTTGGATACATAATTAAAATTATTTCAGGAAGCCTAAAATCTCTGCCCCAGTCCTGCCCGCTATAAATATGTGATCTACCAATGTGTCCCAGTTCCTGGTTACCAAGATGCCACCCCCATCTGTTCTCTGGGGAGACAAGCAGACTGCTTGGCTGCTGAATTCAGCATAGCATCCTCATTTGTCTGTAATTCCACACGAGAGGAGTCCTTTGTTGAATATCCAAGAAATTTCAACAAATTCCTCTTACATGCAAGAGTTCAGTGATGATGGAACTTTAGAGAGAGGTAATGAGAGGATACCAGGAACTGAAGCATCAAGATACCACCAGATAGATGGATGGACAGAAAGTACCATCACACTAAAGTGCTTCTTGTTTGTGTCATAATTAAAAACTGGTTTCCCACACAATGAGTCCTGCAAATAATCCCTGATTCTCTTGATTTAGTCCAATTGGAGGTAATGAATTGGAAAGTTGCCATTTGTATTGGTTTATATTCTTCTCAAAACTTGACCTATTATTTATATCAGATTTAAATCAACCCATACATATATTAAATCGTTTCTAATGATTGTTTATTATTTTGACCTATGCTAAAGCATTCTTGGAAATTGAACTATTTTGTGCCTTATTATAAAGTAACAATCCCTGATAAACAGAATCCATCTACTGGAAGCTCAATACCTGCATCTGAGAAGCAGAGCTTAACAAGAATTGGAGTGCATGTGGTTTATTTAGAAGGAGATCTTGGGAAATTCTGGAGGAGGAATGAGGAAGGGAATGGAAACAATTGGGAAGTCAATAAGGACTATATCATCAAATCAGTTTCTACTGCAGACAACTCACTCCAACTGGGGAACTATGGGAGAGAGTATAAAATACATGTCAGAAGTATCCCACCCAATGGGTGAGGTAGCTGGGGCATTTGTCTACCACTGTATGATCTGCTATTGTTGGTGAGCTGCATCTGAGGATAGGTAACTCCCTAGTTATTCAGGTTTGCCTGGTGCTGTCAGATGGTCACAGGTATTTTCAGGAAATATCTTTTAGCCTGTAGCAAAAAGTTATAAGGGGATGCGGACAGATAGCCAGTTACTATGAGTCTAACAAAAGCCCCACAACTCTATCTTACCATTTATACTTTTTCTCTAAACTTATGTCTACTTCATGGGCTTCAAGGAATGTGTCATGCTGATTTATTGAATAAAGATTTTTTTTTAAATCTCTTCTGGTACTAGGTAACCAAAACTTAAGAAAATTTATTTAAATATCCTGAAACAAACCAACTACATATCTTGGAAATCAATGTGATGTAATTATTACAATTTCTGAGTAGGGTAAAAAGTGGTTTAATGTAAATATTTGTTTGAATTCATATGATCCAACAAAGGACTATATTTTCTCCTATCTTGACCTGCTTCCCCCCACCCCCATATACGGGGCTCTCCTGGGATCAGTTCCTTAATAAGTCCCTTGCATGGAAGCCCTCATCTCCAGGCCTGCTTCTGGGAAACCCAACCTAAGTCACAAGGTAAGATGCAGTTTTCAGGGAATGAGTATCCATGATAAATACTAAAAGAACTTTTGACTACTCTAGTGTGGAAAGAAAGTTAACTTTGCTTCTCTGTCCCTTAGTCATCTCTCAGATGGCACTGAAAGGTTCTTGTGTGATGGGTTTATTCTTCCAGGTGACACAGAGGCCCTGTTCCCATAAGATGAGGTGTCTTTTCCGAATTAGCTTTGTCCCAAAGGATCCAATTGACCTGTTAAGGAGAGATCCAGTTGCTTTTGAGTATCTCTATGTTCAGGTATGTGAAAAATTTAGCATGGTTTATATGAAGGTTGTGGGATAAATTAACTTTTTCTCCTTGAGTTATTTTTGGGGAGACCTTTTCCTGTTAGTCCTCATCCTAAAAAGTTGTAAAAGTAGTCATCTATATTTTCCACTCAGGTTCAGCAATGATTAACATTTTACCATATTTATTAGTGTGGGTGTATGTTCCCTGTCTCTCTCTCCATAGGAAAATACACACACTTTTTTTTTCTAAATGACATGAAAGGTAGTTACCAAAATCAAGTGTGTTTACTTCTAAATACAGTGTACATTTTCTAGTAACCTAAATGATTTTTTATATGATCATTGTACAATTCACAAAATCAAGAAATTTAACATTGATGTTATTTACATTATCTCATCTGTAGTTTGTATCCAAATTATGCCTATTGTCCCCCAAAGGTTCTTTATATCAATTTTTATTTGGATCAAAATTCACAGAAGGATCTCATTTTGCATCTAGTTATCATTTCTCTCTAATCTCCCTATCTCTGGAACATTCCTTAGCCATTCTTTGACTTTTATGACCCTGAGAGTCTTGAGGTGTACTGATCAGATATTTAGTAGAAATCTATCAATTTTGGCTTCTCTGGTATGTTTTTATGATTACATTGAGGTTATATATTTTGGAAAGAATAAGATGAGTGACTGTGTCCTCTTCAATGCATCACATCAGGAAGTACATGATGGTGGTTTATCCCCTTATTATCAAGTCTAACTCTTAGGTGGTATTCTAAAAATTTTCCTTCCCAAAGTGACTACTTTTCCTTTTGTAATTAATAACTAATTTGTGGAGTCACTGTGCAACTCTTATTATCCTGTATCTCATCAAATTTTTACCCATTATTTTAGTATTAATTGATGATTCTTTCCTGAATCTATTAGTATTATAATGGTAGAAAATGATGTGCCTAATTCCATAATTTCTTCTTCATCTATTAATTTGCATGTTACTGTAAGAAATATTTTCCCCTTCTCCTTTATTTATGTATCTACTCATGCACTTATTTGGTGCTTAGATTGCTCTGAAATATTGTGATATTTATTATACTGGAATTATTAGTTTTTAGTTAATAGAACTTTAAGAAAATAATATCCTTTCTAGACCATCTATCTGATATTTGATTCTAGGATATAATTCTCCCAAAAGCAAAAACTTCCAGGAATGAGTATCTGGCACAGTTTGTCCCAAAAGAAATTTACTCAATTTGATATTTAGGAGATGATTCTATGTTTTTCTATAACCATATCCTATTACTCTCACTTAAATTTCCAATAACAAACAAACGTTTGTTAACTCTGAGTAGTTGGTACACATGTATTGGATGTATTTCAAAGCTTTTGGAATCCTCAGAAGTTGGACAGGGAGAAGAGAGAACATAGAAGAGAGATAGACAAGATAGATTTTAGAAGTTAGAAATTATCACATAAAGTAAAGTGATAATAAGCCCTAGAGATCAGAAATGAAGTCAGAAAATAAAAGAAGGAGAACATTTTAGCACATGGGAGCCCTCAGGGTAAGGCCAATTAAACTTTCACTACCTCAGTGGTCTTTAGAAGAGACTGTGGTATTTATGGCTCAATAAGATGATTGATATTCATGAAGATGACCCTGAACACTTAGGATGCATCAAATCCTGTTCAATTCATACTCTGTTTATCAAGAAAAAAAATGTATTCTGGATTTTCCACTAGAAACAGTGAGACTGTCATGTTTTAAGTTTTTAAATGTTAAACTTGGTCACCTGGACCCTTTACTTGTCAATGATGTCCCCTGTTCCCTAACAGGCCAGGGAACCCAGACATGACTGCATGAAACAAAGCCTGATTCTCAGCTGATCATTACTGCATCTTCCCCATATTCCTGCTGAGAACCAACACAGGGCCCACCACTCCAGTTAAGACCATGTGCTTCATTTATTAGCTCATTAGTTGCAAATAAGTAGTTACAGGTGCCAGTCACGCTATAGCTATAGACAGATACATTTGATGATTATTTTCTATAGTTATACATGCATCCTGATTGCAGGATGGTGCTTTAAATCCATTTGACTCTACTTCTGTTTAAACACAACAAGTACATTATATTTATAAAAGAATAACATGCTTGTGTTTCCTCTTAAGTAGACAAGGAACACCTTAAACCTGATTCTATTAAGGTGTGTTTGCTCGAATTTAATGCATGGAGATATTTCTTACTCAAAAGACACATCTTTTATACCTGCGGGACTTGTCTCAGAATGGGAAAAGCTGTCTGGAGATCTTGCCTAGGGACAAGCAGAAAAAGACCAATGTTTCTGCTTTCCCACCTTTTGTGCTGTGTAGGTGGTGGATTAGCTACCTCTTCAAGGAGTAGCCAGCAGGGGAGATGGACAACCACATATATTAGGCAATAGAAACCACAATAAAGCTGTTATCATCTTATATATCCTCCACTGAGAATAGGAAATGAAATTTTATTTGCCTCAGACTCTCTACGTTGAAATGCCCATATCACAGAATGTGTGGTGTATCTAAAATAACATATCTGTCTGATATAAGAAAACAGGTTTGCAAAGTGGTGCCTGTGTGATGTTGATTTTAAGATACTAAAAAGGTGCAATGAAATTAACCTAGAGAATCAAAGAGTAAGCAGAAACAATGTATGTCACTATAGAAAAACAAAATCAATTTTATTTAACAGTCTCCTAACAAGAATAGTCACCATTGACTAGTTGAGGCATGCTGATGAAAACAGATTTAGAGAGTGATGATATCTATGAATCTCCTAGTTATTAATGGGCCTTAAGACCTTTAACAGATTTTAGCATGTGTATTAACAGTAAACTATTAATCCAGATTATTCTAATTCATAATTATGATGGGCTATGCTGACGTTTTCCTGTCTCCTATGTATTAAGAAAAAGATTGGTACACCAATTAGTAAACAAGATGTGACCTAAGAGGCTCCAAAATGTTTTCAAACACTTTAATAGCATTGGTTTACTTTTTAACACCTAACATTAATTACAAATGAACATTTCATAGGCCCAAAGACCTCTATTTAGCAAAACAGTGATTGCCATTCACTTGTATAACTGTATTTTAAGTAATATACTTAAGAGTAATAAAAGAATGATACACACACACACACACACACACACACACACACACACACATATATATATATATATATATATATATATATATATATATATATAATTCAGATTTCACAATAATTCTCAAGGATCCCTCTGAACTATTTATATAATTGATTAACTACTTTGTCAAAAAAATTCACCCAAAAGTCTGGTTAAATACAGAGTAAAACAGGGATAGGGAAAATTATCTCAGCCACAACTCTTGGGAGAAGTAATAGTGATGATTCATTTTTTATAAAGCATGTTCCACTATTAAGCATTCTTGCAGGCATCATGACAGCCTTGTGATTTAATTGTTTATTCTCAAGTTAGTTGTTGTTGAAAGTTTGACCATTTTTCACATAAGAAAATTGAGACTCAAGAAAAATGAAATGCCATTTTCGAGGTCATTTGATTAGTAGCTGACATAGCCTGGCATCAAACCTAAGATTTTGTCTCTGGATTCTGTACAAAAATCATCTGCTTCAGATCTATTATGCGATAGCAGTCATTGAAGAAAGTGATTTATCAAATGGTTTATCTAAAAAAAAAAATTCTTCACGCACCTGGCACTGTGCCAAGTGGTTTCCTTATTCCTATCTTTCATGGGACTCTGTAAAATCACCCTATCTAGTCTGTTACTCCCTTGGACCCCATAGGAACAATCCTGAGCACTTGGAAATAATTGGTAAACCCAATCTAGCAAAACAAAATGGCAGTCAGGCTAGGTAGTGCATACCTGTAATCCCAGTGACTTGGGAGGCTAAGGCAGGAAGATTGCAAGTTCAAAGCCAGCCTCAGCAACTTAGGGAGGCCTGAAGCAACTTAGCAAGATGCTGTCTCAAAATAAAACATTAAACAGGCTAAGGATGTGGTTCAGTAGTCAAACACCCTTAGATTTAATCCCTGGTACCAAAAAGAAAAAAAAAATGGTACCTTGGGATTGCTTTCAGAGACTTCCCTAACTTAAACTCCCTTGCTTTTGTCTCATGACAGACTCCCTTCCAACAAGGGGTCCCCTGCATTCCAGGTAGCTTTAAGATTTTATCAGGAAACAAAGGTCAAAGAGCACACTAGGGGTGGAAGGGTAACAAAATGTGGGGTCACACTTAACAGTAAAGCAACAGGCCAGAAGACATGCATACATCACAGGTGGATAGAATGTGCAGCATACAGGGCCAGCACAGCATGGGTTAAGTATGCAAGGTGTCAACATTGTATGCAGAAGCCATACAGTGGTACATGTTCCCATTGTAGTAAAATCAATACATAAGGGGCTGGGGATGTGGCTCAAGCGGTAGTGCGCTCGCCTGGCATGCGTGCCGCCCGGGTTCGATCCTCAGCACCACATACAAACAAAGATGTTGTGTCTGCCGAAAACTAAAAATAAATATTAAAAATCTCTCTCTCTCTCTCTCTCTCTCTAAAAATTCAATATATGAAGTGATTAAAATGTACTTCTCTTGAGAGGAGACAAACAACTCCTGATGTAGGTTTCCATTTGAAATCCTTTTGGGACAAGGCAAAGAATAAGGAAAAGAAGGATGTTTTAAAAAGGGTTAAATATATTCTTTAGCACAAGAACCCAGGTTCCCATAACAAAAATAAGTAAACATGCAAATCATACTTAAGCAATGCTGTGATTTGGTCAACATTTAGCTCACTGCTTTGTTCCTAATGAATGAGAACCCTACTCTTTTAAGATCTAAGTCTTGTGGTCATACAGGACTTTGCACTTGATAACACACTCTCAGTCACCCTTTAATTTGATCTTTACAACAGATCCTGTGAGTTAGGTGTTCTCCATTTTACAGATGTACAAACTAACACCTGAAGATGAGGAATGACTCCCACAGAGTTACACTTTTGAAGTAGCAGGGCATTCAAATGAATGGAAAATTTGAATAACTGCCATTTAGAGTGTGCCACTGGACACATATTGAATGCTTGAACTGCTCCCATGAGGCAGTTGGTGTGAATCTCCATTGCACAGATGAGTTAACTGAAGCCACAGGTGTACACGCTAACAGGGCAAGGTTTCACACACAGGTAGCCATTGGCAAAGCTGGGACTGCAGAACAGTTGAGTAGAAGTCCAGAGCTGCCAACCCAGTCACTTTACTAATTCTGCCTCCCTGAAGCTGCTCTGGATTGACAGAAAGAGAGAAGGCAGAGAGGAATGTTGTTGATGACAGTAGTTAATCTGTAAGAGCGTTTACAATTTACCAGCTAAGTTCTAATGGCTTTACATTAATTTAGGTAATCCTCAACACAACCCTATGACTCTTGATGCTTTTCCCCCTCTTTATAAGAGGGGACACTTGCCCGAGTTCACACCCCCTAGGAAATGGAAGAACAAATTAGGAGCCTAGAATTCCAACTCTGACAGCCTAACTCCAAAAGCCATATTATGCTATCAGTGCTTCGCGTGTTCAGCTGCAGCACCTGTGTTTGGAAATTTCATTCCTAAAATCCTAATTATTTTTACAAAAAGCTAAATATTTAAATAACAGCTTGTCGATGAATGTTAAATGTTTTGTGTGGTCTCTGTGTTTGTGCGTGCAGTTAAATACTGACGCGGTTCCAAGCAGCACGGTGGAAATGTTTCCACTTTTAGCCTCCTTGCCTTTGAAGTGAGGGTTGAAAACGCTGGGGGAAATGCGTGTCACCTGTTCCTCTAAGGCAAAGCGGGGCGGCCCATTCTCTGACGAGCTGCGCCCTCTGCTGGTCTCTTCGCAGAGCTGTAACGATGTGGTTCAGGAGCGATTTGGTCCGGAGCTGAAATACGACATAGCCCTGCGGCTGGCCGCCTTACAAATGTACATCGCAACAGTTACCACCAAGCAGACGCAGAAAATATCGCTCAAATACATCGAGTAAGTGTTGGCTCTCAGCGTCATTTCAGAGACAGAGATGCTGCCTCCTTAACACCTCAGTGTATTTTTGATCTTTATTTCCAAAATTGATCTTGCTTGTAGCAGAGCATTTGTTAACCAGAGGCAAATGTATGAATATCATGTCCCTGATGTAGTGGAAGAGATCCATTACTTATATAATCTGTCTTTAAAAATTGTAGTTAAAATGAGGGTCACATTTAAAATGAAGTGTACATTTAAAAATTCCTAAAAGGATTTGGTTCCAAGCCAAGCTTTAATCTCAGTGCCTTTCAAGCATTTACTTGTTTAATTCTCACAATGTCCCTATAGTTGCAGTGGGATTTTAGGTTCATTTTAGAGATGAGCAAACTGAGGCATAGAATGATTATGTAATTTGCCCAAGTCATAGGGCCATTCATTGGAAGGGGCAAGGGGACCCTTTGTTGTGCAACAGTTTGCATGATGGCTTAAGGCACCTGTGTTTGCAAAGTGTCTGCATAACCTGAGATCACTTGAGATGGTCAAAATGCAATATCAAAAGTAATGCCGGGCTGGGGCTGTAGCTCAGTGGTAAAGTGCTTGCCTTACATGTGTGAGGCACTGGGTTCGATCCTCAGTACCACATAAAAATAAATAAAGATACAGTGAATTCATCTACAAATAAATATTTTTTTAAAAAAAAAGCAATGCCATAATTGGGAAGCATGGTATTTGTAGTGAAAACTGAGGTTGAAAGGATGCCCCAAACCAACTTTACTTTGTGAATCATATCTTGTTATGAATGCCTTCTCTTGCTTAGTCTTCCATTCAACTGCTTCCATAGACTTTTTCAGCCAGGGGAAGATCCCCTTGTCTTAGAAAAAAGACAGTATGTATTGCCCTCAGTTGATGAGTCTATATAAGTGAGTCTATTTAAGGGTCATCCTTTAAAAGGGAGCTCTGTATCTCCCTGGAGGTGATTCAAAAGCCTAAATCAACCCCAACTTACTTCGTGCTGGCAGTTCTTTACGCTAAGAAACTGGAACACTCATATTTCAGAGTTCATGACCAGGCCAAAACCCCATCTCCATGTAACGCTTAAAGTTGCCTTGAATTTCTCCCTGTCCCCACCTCTAAGAGATGGACAAACTAACAATAATCTCACCTTCCAAAGAAGCCTCCCATGGGCTGACTATAAAATAACATGATGCCAGGTTAACCCACCTGGGGGGAAAATGGCTTTTCTCATGAACTTGTGTTGAAAAGTATTTGAACTCCAATTTTCTGTCTTCAGTGCTACTGTTCTGGCAACTCTCAATTCACCCATTGATGCCTAGAGACAAACCCTCATATTCAGTTAGAGTCTCAAACCACTCCTCCCAGATGGTTTCTCTCTTTTTCCCTTGCCACACACCTGCAGTGACTCTAGCCTGAGAGAGGTACAGCTCACAGAGAGGTCTCAAACGCAGCTGGACACATTCACACCTTTTTCCACTCCCCTTTCTGAAGTTCTTAGAGACCAATGAAACTGGCTGCCATTTGAAAAGGTGACCTGCACAACCTGAGCAGATCTTCACACAATTAAGATGCATTTCTGTTCCTACTCTCTTGTAGCCACATTTTCCCAGGTTGAACATTTTCCCAGGTTGTAGAGTCAAAAACCTCTCAAAGATAACTAGCTTGACTAAGAATCTTGCAGATTCTACAATAGTGTCATCATCAATTCCTTTATTCAACAAATATTCATTGAGCATCAAGGAACTTGTGGTCTGATTGTAAAGATAAGACATAAAGATATGAAAAGTAGTTATTTAAAGTAATAATTCCAGGCTGGGGCTATAGCTCAGTGGTAGAGTACTTATCTAGCATGCATGAAGCCCTGAGTTCCATCCCCAGTACCAAAGTAAATTAATTAATTAATGATAAAAGTAGAACTAAAATATCACCCACAAGAGTTCCAAATAATGAATTAAAATAATAAGTACAAGTTGAGGAAGAAGAAAAAATATAGTGATCACAAATAATTGCATCTTTAACAAAGAACATGAATGGTCAACTGGGGGAAGGTTGGATTTTTTCTATTTTTATTGGTTCTTTTTAGTTATACATGACAATAAATCTATCTATCTTTGTGCTATTTACTTACAACTTTTTTTCTAACTAGTGTCTTATGAACGTATGTGAGGGTGAGAGTCACTGTGCTATATTCCTATATGTACATGTGAAAGTAAAGTCAGATTCACTCCACTCACTTTTCCTATGCCATTCCTTCTCTCTTCCCTTCATTCCCCTTTTTCTACTCCTCTGATCTTACTTCTATTCTGGTCTTTTATACCCCCTTATTTTAAATTAGCTTCTGCATATCAGAGAAAACATTCAAACTTTGATTTTAGAGATGAGTTTATTTCACTTAGGATGATAGTCTTCAGTTCCATTCATTTACCAGAAAATGACATAATTTTATTCTCCTTTATGACTGAGTAATATTCCATTGTGTATATATCCAACATTTTCTTTATCCATTCATCTATGGAAGGGCACCTAGGTTGCCTCCATAGCTTAGCTGTTGTAAATTGAGCTGCTATAAACACTGATGGGGTTGCATTCCTGAGGTATGCTGATTTCTTCTTACCCTTCTTCAGAGAGGATCTGGAAAGGGAGAAATAACAGAATCTTCTTGAAGCTCTTTATAATTTAGATGACACTGGTTGGGCCCACAAACAATCAGTATAGGTTTCTAAGCATTCAAATATGGAACCTTCTTAGAAGAGGATTTAACGATTGCTGGGGGTTTGGCCAAAAATATATTTACCCAGTCCTATGTGCTGCTTTTTTTCTTATATATCCATATCCATGATAGATGTATACTTCCTGTAAGTACCGACATACTTGAGGGTCATAACCTGCCCCCTGCATAAGAGATATTGATGGAAGGAGTTACACATGAATTGACTGGGATAAAAGAACTGTGAGTTTCTAGAAAATGAGCCACTGATGAGGGATAATGGCAAAGAAGATGCTTTGGGGCATGAAGAAATTGCAACCATTCTTCTAAGAGAAGAAGGAGAAAGAGAGAAAATGTGGGCAGACAGGGAGATGTGAGAATGGGAATAAACAAATAAATGGATAGAAACAGGTATTGAAAGAATAAACTTGGACATGTGAATTAATCTCCAGAAATGGGTTGGACAGAGTGCCTCTTCAATTTCTATTGGTCCCCATATGCCTTCTTAGCATTCTTTCTGGAGAGTAAGGAATAGGTTTCTTTTAAAATGCAAACATATGTATTAATGATCAAATAGTATGTTTCCTAGATGTAAATTAAAAGTTGCTTCCCTGCCCTACCAAGAGTTCATTTGTTCCAACAAACATCAGAGTGCCATTTTGTCTTAGATAACTAATCATCACAGGAATGTGAAATTAAAGATATGCTTTTTCTTGCAGGAAAGAATGGGGATTAGAGACTTTTCTTCCCTCTGCTGTGCTGCAAAGCATGAAAGAGAAGAACATAAAGAAAGCACTTTCACACCTTGTCAAAGCAAATCAAAACTTGGTACCACCGGGTAAAAAGGTATCACATTTGCATCTTAATAGAAAATAGATTTTGAAGAGGGAGGTTTGCATGCATTTTTTTAAATGTTTAAAATTAGCCCATGAATAAAATACTTAGCACCATATTTTCAGAAGGCAGTAACACTCTATAACTTAAAAAAAATCATTAACGTTTTCTAAGACTAATGAAAAACAAATATCCTTATGGAAACCTGTGTACTTCCTACAAGTTAGAAATCCCTTATTGTACAAGACGTGTACATTCACGAGCCTACCTTGCATGGCCTCTGAGACCTTGTGATTAGACAATAGAACTGTAAGATAATTCTGCATTTCCTTCATGTTCTTGCTTACTGTTCAGACCAGCTTAAGTGTATAGCAGCCCAAAAGGGGCCCTTTTTAAATCTGGGTATATCTACTGTAACATAATTGATATCTGTAACAGTTCATTCTTTGTCACAGGGGAAAGGGAAGCTGTCCTGGGCATTGTGGTCTCTACCTACCAGATGCCATTTTCACCCCTCCCCTAATTGCGACAAAGAAAAATGTCTCCATACATTGCCAATTGTGCCCTAGGGAACAAAATCACCCCTACTGACAACTATTGGATTAAATCCTACTTTTAGAAGGAAGATAAAATTATTTCTGTCACTCATCATTAGTGTTAAAACTTTTGTATTTGTTTTTATTAAGTAGGAGAAACACAGAAGACTTTTTAAAATATACTGTTGGTCAGAAAAGAAAGGTATGGTTTGTAAATAATTTTTTAAAAATGATTCCAATAACCAGAAAGAGAAGGAGACTTGAATTATTGGCATATAAAATAGGGAGAAGCCCAACAACCTAAGAACACTTTCCAATTGATATTGGCTATAGAAACTTATATGACTCTCATGTATATCATGGTCCATGTAGATAATTCTTTGATCTTAATATCAGATTCTAAGTCATTTTACTAGTTAAGGCACATTATTTCTATTCCTTTCTCCCTGCCCCGTAACATTTTTTAATGTGTAATCAGGTTCAACACACTCTCAGCCTCCTTTCACTTACAGTTCATGGGAGTATGTTTGTCCCATCGCAGTGAACATTCAGCTTTAAGAATATAGTGGAATGCCCTGGGTCAAGATTTTTTTTAAATTTCCATTATGATTTGCCCAAAGCTAATTTCTACTAGTTGATTTGATATTTTTTTAAAGTCTGACCCATTTGCATTATAATAATTTAGAAACTAATATAAGTTCTATCCATTTCTGTATGTATCACTGTCCTTCTATAATGCTAAGCTTTTCTATAACAAGTGGCTTGCTTTCAAAATTTGCAAAGCATGTTGAGTTTTTGTAAAAAAGTAAGATGAGTTAGCCAGATACAGTGGCACATGCTTATAATCTCAGTTACTTGAGAGGCTGAAGCAAGAGGATAACAAGTTACAGGTCAGCCTCTGCAAATTAGCAAGACCCTGTCTCAAAATCGAAATTTTAAAAGGGCTGGGAATGTACTTCAATGGTGAGCACTTCCCTAGCATGTGTGAGTCCCTGAGTTCAATACCCAGTACCACAAAATAATAGTAATAATAATAATAATAATAACAACAACAACAACAACAACAATAACAATAATAAATGGCACTAAATAACAATTACATAAAGGATAGTACCTTCAAGTGAAACAGAATTTAATAGGCATTGCTACTGAAAGATCATCTAAGCCTTGTTGGAAAATTTCACCCTTAATAAACATTCCTGGCACATTCAGTATGAAACATGGACGTGTTTTTAATCGAAATACTTTTTTTAATGATGTGTGGACCTCCATTAAGTCTTTATAAAGATAAACTTTATCTGGATAAAATTTCATTTGTAATTCATTCATGAAACTCAACAGATTCTCAGAGTTGAATTAACCAAACAAGGACTTATATAGCAAGTTCAAACATTTCCACAATGATTGGAGTTCAGAAAGTTCACTTTCCCTGTAAATTTGCAAAGACCAGAAGAAACTTGAGAGGGGAGGTGTAAGAGCCTGTTTAAAAGGCTTTGCATAGATTCCAGGTGCGTATTCTAAACAGCTCCCACAAACTACATACAGGTGAGTCTCCTGTGCTGTGGGAGAATTTGTGTGCAGTCCACCTTTGTCCTTAGTTGCAATTGGAAAGCACCACTCGCCTCTTGAAACTTCCCAATGGGCAGATGTTTCAATGGAACATTTTATGAACTTGTTCTCACTTGTCAAACATCTCAGCCCACATACCCATACTCGTGAGTTCCCCATGCATTTCTCTCAAATGAATTAAGATTTGAATCTTGATGCCATGTTGCAATCTATCATCAGGAAACCAAATACATAGCAATTTACTCTCCTTCCTAAAGAAGGGTCTTGTCATACTCCATCTCCCCAGCAAGAAATTGTTCTTCTAGTTTGTCCCTTGTTTATAGTTGGTCTCTAGCCCAAATGGACTCACACCCAATGGAGTCAACAAGTTAGTTTCCTTTTCTCTCTTCAGCTCTCTGCACTACAAGCCAAGGTTCACTATCTCAAGTTCCTCAGTGACCTGCGACTGTATGGGGGCCGTGTGTTCAAGGCAACGTTAGTGGTAATTTCTGCTTTCTTGCTTTTTATCAGAAGCTATAGAGGTCCATAAAATATCACTGCAGAGGCTGTCTTCAATGAGCTGCCCCTGAAGCAAAAGCAAATCAGCTATGAATATTTTCCAGCCTTCATTTCTAATTGACTTCACCACTGTCTGAAAATATCTGAAAAAAAAATGTTAAACTAGATAATGCCATTGCAGAATGCCCTAGAAAAAGAAATGTGAAGAAACAGGAGAATCAAAGGGCTCTAACAACAGCTGCTTTTTAAATCATTGAGCCAGAAGTTTCTTTGACACTAAAAAGAGAGAAGCCACAAACCTCATTTCTAAAAAAAAACCTTTTGTGATTATGAATTTATTGTGTTATGATAACATTTTCTTTATATATTATTCATAATTTACAAGAGCTTCAATGTGATCGTATATCTGGTTCTTCTCATTGGATGATGTAGTACAATGTGACCCAGACGTACTTTCTAAAGAAAATATAATCTTAGGGCTGGGGATGTGGCTCAAGTGGTAATGCGCTTGCCTGGCATGCGTGCGGCCCGGGTTCAATTCTCAGCACCACATAAAAATAAAGATGTTGTGTCCACCGAAAACTAAAAAATAAATTTTAAAAAATTCTGTCTCTCTCTCTCTAAATAAAAAAGAAAATATAATCTTATAAAAACAGGCTCTCAGGTTCAACTTTGCATGGTGCTTCAGAAAGTGTGGGTTTTAAAATATTTTGTCACCATCTCTTCTCAGCAGGCAGAAAAGCGTTCAGAAGTGACACTCCTGGTTGGGCCACGGTATGGCATAAGCCATGTCATAAATACCAAAACCAATCTGGTGGCACTTTTAGCTGACTTCAGCCATGTCAACAGGATCGAAATGTTTACTGAAGAGGAGAACTTGGTGAGGGTGGAGCTCCATGTGCTAGATGTGAAGGTAAGCCTTTCAAATGTTGACATATGACCTTGGTTTAAACATTTCATTTCTGGCAACACTTCTGGCATTTACAAAGCAGAGAAGTTAATGTGTGCAGAGTCTCAGCAATGCTCTGAGGTGCAGGAAAACCCATCCCACTCAGGCCTGAGACTTCAGTCTGCTGTGATTTGGGGGCAATTTGCTATGCTTCTCTGGGCTTCATTTCTTTATCTATACATGAGAAAGAAAGCTATCTCATTTCTAGGTCCCTCTTATTTTATAATACTGAGCCATAGGCAGAGACTAGGGGAGATTTTTCCCAACTTTCTAGAATGTATGATTCACTCAGAGTCAGGGAGATTCTTTTCCCTAACTTTATTCAAAAGTCCTATTCCCTTTCATTAAGTTGGGACCATATGTGATCGTTCTTTTGGAAAAGGTGGGTATTTTAGTTTGTCTTCTCATGCTGTAGAAATTGGTACTGACTAAACATCTTGCTTCTAGGAATGTCATGGTCATTCTATTTAAAACAACCATCCGAGGTTGTCTACAAAGAGCTAAACTCTACTCCCCTTATCAGAAATCAGCAGAAAACAATCCAGGTCTCCTTTCCCACCCCCTTCTTCTTCCAGTAAATTTGAGTCATTGGAGTTTGCCTATGTTAATTTATCTAATGTTTCTATGGAGAAAAAGCACTAGACCCAAAAGGAGACAGGGCCTCCACAAAAGAGACAGCATCAGCTAGCAGGGATGCTCTGAAGATGGTCAGAGAAGACCCAACCATGCCCACACTACCACCAGTGTGGTCTGGGAAGAGTGGATCAAGAATAACGGAAGCTATGGGAAAGGGTTTCTAGAGCAAATCAGGATATATCAGTACACTCTGCAACAGGAACAAATGGTCAGGAAAGAGAATATGGAACTAGGACATGTTATCTATGCCCCATAGGATTTCATGGGCTGAATCTAGAGGACTCCAGTTGACTTCATGGCAATTTACAAGTGTAAGGATGGATTTGGAATGTCTATCCTAGTCCATGACTAATGATACTGAGGGAAATAACCCCATAATGAGAAAAGGGCAGAAGAATGAACTGAATGTGGTCATTATAGGTCTGCTAATCAGCATTAATCTAAATAGAAATGAATGGTGAGACCCTACTAATGGTGTCCTGCTTTGTATTGAATAATGGTAGTATAGCTTCAAGATTGAGGGGAGACCACAACTATAGTTGAAGGAAAGATAGTTCAACAAGTAGTACAGGTTCTTTGGATGGGAATTTCTATTCTACCAATCAGGGACATTGAGCATGACCAGTATCCTATTCCTGGGAGTGACAGTAGAGACCTATTTCTTCCTCTCTTCATGTCTGCTTTATGTTGCTCCCTTATTTCTCTCCCAGTTTCTTTCGCTTTCCACAAGAACACACTCTTCCTAACTAAAAAAATATTTCTCTATCAACATTTCCTTCCCTGAGCACCCAAGATACATGTCCAATTATATAATATCATTGGTTTCCAGAAAGTTTTATCAAGGTCTTTTCTCAACTCTCAGTTCTAGTTAACCTTCCTGTACATGTACCATTTCTTTCAGAAGTATCCTTTTCCTAGATATCTTTGACAGTTTTTAGTCTTTTTTATTATTAATTAATTTATTTATTTTAATTAGGATATATAACAGCAGAATGCATTTTAATTCATTGTACACAACTGCAGCACAAATTTTCATTTCTCTGGTTGTACACAGTGTACAACCATATGTGCAGTCATACATGTACTTAGGTTACTGATCTCCATCTCATTCTACCATCTTTCCTTCCTTGCCCCTATGACCCCTCCTGGCCCCTCCCTCCCCTTTGTCCCATCAAAATTCCTCCATTTTTCCCATGCTCCCGCCCATTATGGATCAGCATCCACTTAATCAGAGAGAACATTTGGCCTTGGGTTTTTTGGGATTGGCTTACTTCACTTAGCATGATATTCTCCAACTCCATCCATTTACCTGCAAGTGCCATAATTTTATTCTCTTTTAATACTGAGTAATATTCCATTGTGTATATATACCACAATTTTTTATCCATTCATCTATTAAAGGGCATCTAGGTTGCTTCCATAGTTTGTGAATTGTGCTGCTATAAACATTAATGTGGCTGTGTTACTATAGTATGCTGATTTTAAGTCCTTTGGGTGTAGACCAAGGAGTGGGATAGCTGGGTCAAATGGTGGTTCCAAGGAATCTCCATACTTCTTTCTAGATTGGTTGTACCAATTTGCAGTCCCACCAACAATGTATGAGTGTGCCTTTTTCCCCACATCCTCGCCAATTGTTGTCTGTATTCTTGAAAACTGCCATTCTGACTGGCGTGAGATGAAATCTTGGAGTAGTTTGATTTGCATTTCTCTAGTTACTAGAGATGTTGAACATTTTTCATATATTTGTTGATCGAATGTATATCTTCTTCTGAGAAGTGTCTGTTCAGCTCCTTAGCCCACTTATTGATGGGGTTGTTTGTTTTTTCGGTGTTAAGTATTTTGAGTCCTTTATATATCCTGGAGATTAGTGTTCCATCAAACATGTGTGTGGCAAAATTTTGCTCCCAAAACGTAGACTCTCTCTTCAACCTATTGATTGTTTCTTTTGCTGAGAAGAAGTTTTTTAGTTTGAGTCCAGCCCATTTGTTAATTCTTGATTTTATTTCTTACACTTTAGGAGTCTTATTAAGGAAGTCAGGGCCTAATCCAATGTGATGCAGATTCGGGCCTACTTTTTCCTCCATTAGGCACAGGGTCTCTGGTCTAATTCCTAGGTCCTTGATTCACTTTGAGCTGAGTTTTGTCCAAGGTGAGAGATAGGGGTTTGGATTTATAGTCCTCCCAGCACCATTTGTTGAAGAAAAAAATGTATGTTTTTGGCTCCAAAGTATGTTTTGGGCTCCTCTGTCTAATATGAGATAACTGTATTTGTGTGGTTGTTTTCTCTGTGCCTTCTATTCTGTCCCATTGGTCTACATGTCTATTTTGGTGCAAGTACCATGCCATTTTTCTTACTATAGCTTTGTAGTGTAGTTTAAGATCTGGTATTGTGATGCCTCCTGCTTTACTCTTCTTGCTAAGGATTTATTTGGCTATTCTGGGTATCTTATTTTTCCAGATGAATTTCATGATGGCTTTTTAAAAAAAAAATTAAGTTGTAGATGGACACAATACCTTTACTTTATTCATTTTTATGTGGTGTTGAGGGTCGAATCCAGTGCCTCACACATGGTAGGCAAGCACTCTATCACTGAGCTACAACCCCAGCCCTCATAATTGCTTTTTATATCTCTATAAGGAATGACAATGGGATTTTAATTGAAATTTCATTGAATCTGTATAGCACTTTGGGTAGTATGGCCATTTTGACAATATTAATTTTGCCTATTCTAGAGCATGGGAGATCTTTCCATCTTCTAAGGTTTTCTTCAATTTCTTTCTTTAGTGTTCTGTAGTTTCATTATATAGGTCTTTTACCTCTTTTGTTAAGTTGATTCCCAAGCATTTTTTTTTTTTGAGGCTATTGTGAATGGGGTAGTTGTCCTAATTTCAGAGGATTCATCATTGATATATGCAAATGCATTTGATTTATAAGTATTGATTTTATATCCTGCTACTTTGCTAATTCATTAATTCTAGAAGTTTTCTGGTAGAGTGTTTTCAATCCTCTAGGTATGTCATCAGCAAATAGTGAGAGTTTGAGTTCTTCATTTCCTATTCATATCCCTTCAATTTCTTTCATCTGTCTAATTGTCTGGCCACAGTTTCAAGGACTGTATTTAATAGAAGTGGTGAAAGAGGGTATCCCTGTGTTATTTCAGGTTTTAGAGGGAATGCTTCCAATTTTTCACCATTTAGAATGATGTTGGGCTTGGGTTTAGCATAGATAGCTTTTACAATGTTGGAGTATGTTCCTACTATCCCTAGTTTTTCTAATGTTTTTAACAGGAAATAGTACTATATTTTGTCAAATGCATTCACTGTTTCAATTGATATAATCATATGGTTCTTATCTTTAAATCTATTGATGTGATAAATTATATTTATTGATTTCCATATGTTGAGCCAACCTTGCATCCCTGAAATGAACCCCACTTGATCATGGTGCACTATTTTTAAATATGTTTTTGTATGCAATTAAGCTGGAATTTTATTGAATTTTTGCATCAATGTTCATTAGGGATATTGGTCTGAAATTTTCTTTCTTTGATGTGTCTCTTCCTGGTTTTGGTATTAGGATAATACTAGCTTCGTAGAATGAGTTTGGAAGGATTCCTTCCTTTTCTATTTCATAGAATAATTTGAGAAGTATTGGTATTAATTCTTTGTAGATTTATAGAGCTCAGCTGTAAATCCATCTAGTCCTGGGCTTTTTTTTTTTTTTTTTTTTTTTTTTTTTTTTTTTTTTTTTGGCTTTTGATGGTGTCTTCTATTTCCTTGCTTGAAATTGATCTGTTTAAATTGTGTATGTCCTCTTGACTCAGTTTGGGTTGATCATATACCTCTAGAAATTTGTCAGTGTCTTTGAGGTTTTCTATTTTACTAGAGTATAAATTTTCAAAATACTTTCTTATTGTCTTCTGTATTTCATTCAGTCTCGTCAGAAATTTCCACTTGATTTTTAATCTTCTCTTTAACACTAATTTTCACCATGAACCCCAAACTTAAACTTCTGCTGATTTTCACATTGTGAATTCACTTCTTGTCATGGATGTAACTTATAACTAACATAAATAGTTAAAGTGTTAACTATTTGAGAAGAAAATCAATTTTTTGTTGTTGTTGTTGTTTTTATTCTAATCTGACCATGAAGACATCATAAATGTCCAGATTTTTTAAGTGATATATCCTAAATGTTTTTCACTAAGGCACTTTGTGTTATCCCTGACTTTTTCTTCCCATTCACATTTCTCCAATGCAGTTTTTGCTCAATAACTTCTTCTCTATTTCATGAGTGTAAATGCAGCTGTTGCCACTTGAGGGAGGTTATTGAGGAGGATGGCTTTGACCAAAACATCTTTTTTGTGCAGCCCATCACACTCCTGATGGAATCCTCAGATGCCATGAACCTGGCCTGCTTGACAGCTGGATACTACAGGCTGCTGGTAGATTCCAGGAGGTCGATATTTAACATGGCCAACAAGAAAAATGCAGGGACCCAGGACACAGGTATATTCTTTCTAAACTAATGAAGCAGTGACTCCTTCACCACCACTGTGGTTTCCAGACCTTACCTGACAATAATAAGAAGATGTCACTTAAAGAGTTAAAATTGATCACATAGAAAAAGTTATGTCCAGACAATACAAAAGCATTCAAATATTGCTAACATTGTCTAATTTTTAAAAATGCTGATTCCCTATCACATTTATTATGGCACTTGTAAATTTCAGGTGTGTTGTTACGGCTGCATTTGTATTGCCTCACTCTTACAGTGGCCAGGACACAGAGAACTAATAACAGAATACCCAACTAATGATTGTGAGTCCCCTATTCTAGGGCTACTCATTCCTTAAGATGTCTTAGACCCACCTGCCTGGAATCCTCCTTCCTGTAGTCAAAATTTTCCCAGAATCAGGAAGCTTTTCCAGCAGGAGGAGGTAGGTCCTACCCAGAACTTGGACTCAGGGATTGTAGAAGGAACTTATTCTGCTCTGGCAGCCATTTTAGATCCATAATAGGAGCATCAAGATGATAAAGATGTCAAATACTTCAATATAACCTCTTGACAGGACACAAAATGAGGACAAGGAGGGCCAAAAATAATAAATTGATTCTTTCTTTGAGGGCGTTTTTCATTTATTTTAGGAATTTTTTTAAGTATTTGAGCATTTTCCTCTATCTACAGTGGATTTTCAGTAAATGTGGCTAATGGATACCACCATTCAAGGCCAAGCCACCAACACATGAAAAATTATACGCAGGAGTTCTATAAATAGTATTTCTTCTAAAAGAGAAGAAATTCTTAAAAACAAATTTCTGTCACCATTTCTGAGAGAAGGGGGAAAGGAAAACTCTCTCTTCTTTTTAAGCTGAGAAGAAAACATGTCTTTATTCCACAAATATATTGTAACATGCAGATTCATAGACATGCGCATAGACTCACATGTAATTTATTATAATGGCTTGGTAACTTAAAGCATTTGTAGTCATAGAAAATGGGAAGGCAGAGAAAAAGAGAGATGACAGTGAGTTAGAAGGCAATTATGACTTCCAGTCAGATACTAAGGTTTAATCCAACCCCACCTCGGAGTGTGTGTGTTTTCAAATTACTCTAGGTTTGGGTTTTCTCATTTGTATAACTGATACTGAAAACGTAGTTTGCAAGGTAAGTGTTAGAAAAAAATATATGTACAACACCTAATATGATGCTCACTAGTTCTATTACTAATTCTATTAGATGATAGTGAAAAAATGGTGTAAAAATTGAAGATGAAAGTTATAGAAATATAGAAGGGAGAGGAAGATGGAAGATGGAGCAAAGAAATCCTAGAAAGACACACATGACTAAAAATAATTAGAGAAAGGGAAAGAACAAAAAGGAGGCAGTAAGTATACATAGGGTTTGCACACATATTTTTATAACCTCACAATTTCATTGAGCAAAGAGATTTAGAGCAATTCAGCAATGATCTTGAAATTCTGAAGAACAGTTCAGCAACTTAAAATAATCCTTTCACATTGAAAACCCAGCTTTGTTTTTTTTTTTTTTTATTTCTAATCTTAATGTTTATCTTGACACTAAAACCTTTTCACCATGGACTGCTAAATTGTATGGGTATGGGGAAAAGACCAAATCTCCATTCTAAAAATGGTTACAGCAATAAGGGTCTCACTTCTATCCAATTTATAGCCATCTACAATGTAAATGTGTTGTGAAACTGAGAGGCAAACTTAGTTGCAAAAATATTATAACTGGGCTGGGGTGTGGCTCAGTGGTAGAGCACTTGCCTATCATGTGTGAGGCAGTGGGTTCAATTCTCAGCACCACATATAAATAAAGTCCATTGACAACTAAGAAAATATTTTTTAAAAATGTATTTTTAGTATGGAGGAAAAATGGAGCCTTGGCCTCTCAGTGATTTCTTCTAGGGTGAGGAAAATGCTCCAAATACCTTTCTCCACTCTGAGAAAGGGTAGGGTGGATAAAGGAGAGATAGCACATCCCAAAACAAAACAGGTAGACCTCAGGTGAGCAGCAGTCTGGGACTTAGTACCTATAGTGGCTACAAGCACATCTTCTCTTTAGAAACTGCCACAGATTTCCTGAGATTTGGGAAATATCAGGAGTAAAGTCTGGTAAGATCAGTTCATCCCTGGTCCACTGGAGGCTAAGCCACAGAACAGATCTAAGTTCTCACCCCAGATCCTTCCATGTCTCCACAATCATTCCAGGAAGCCAAATAAGTATACCCTTCTGGAAGGAAGCTAAAATTGAACATGTATTTTCTTCTCATTACAAACTGAGATAGACCTTAGTTAAGATCTCTAATAAGGAACTGTAAGCCTCCATTTATCTTCCTCCATCTTTAAAATATACCTTTAAGCATTTTCAAAATCCCTGACACCATACCTTTGTATCTCTGGGCTTCAGGGGGCTCTGAATAAATATCATTAACTTGCTTTTAGCTTTCTGGTCTGTTCAGTGTTTTTGTTGGTCTAAACCATGAGTTGTTATTACAAATAAAATTTTATTAGAATTTAACTACACACATTGTATCACTTTTCTAAAGTCTCTGTAACAAATTATCACAAATCTGGTGGCCAAAACAACATAAATCCCTCCCAGTTTTGGAGGCCAGAAGGCCAAAATCAAAGTGTCAGCAGTACTCACTCCAAAGGAATTAGAGGAGGATCCTTCCTTGCCTTTCCCACTTCTGATGGCTGTCAGCATTCCATGTGACTGCACATTTCCAGCCTTGGCCTCTGTCTTCACATGATCTTCACCTCTTCTTGGTGTGGTCCAAATCTCCTACTACCACAAGGGCACTCACCATTGGATTTAGTGCCCAAACAGATAATTCAGGATGATCTTGCCTCAAAATCCTTGAAATAATCTGCAAAACTCTTTTTCCAAATAAGATCATAGTGTGGACACATTTTGGGGATGCCACCCACTCAGCTCATACTCCGTCCCATTTGTTTATGTATCACCTATAGCTATTTTCATGTTAAAACATCAGAGTTTAGTTGTTGCTGTACTGAAACAGTTGGCTTCCAAAAACTAAAATATTTACTCTCTAGCCCTCCATTTATGGAAAACATTGCCAACACCTGGTCTAAACTTAGCTGTTACAAGTATTCCTCAACATCCCACCCCCACAAACACATATACACACATGTACACACCCACAGAACCCATCATAACCTAATTTTTCATAGTTGATAAATTATGTTGAACTCCCATGCAGTATATTGATTATAAGGTAAGATGTAATTGTGGCTAGTATATAATTAAATGTCTTCAAAATTATATCTTTTACTTGCTATTTATGAATATATATATTTAATAAAATGACTCTGAACAGTGTTCAGCATGAAGTCTATTGTATAATTTGGGGGGGAGCAAAAATTCCTTTAGTAAAACCAATTTTATTTTCTGTATGTCTTATACATATGATGACAGTATCACCCAAACTGGGCGAAGTGGCAATTTGAGGGAACAGATGGAAAAATGGAAGGGTCCTAAATTTTGGTCAAAAGGTTGCTTCTAGAATCTACAAAGCAATAATCACAGAATAACCCAAATTCCCCATCTTGTTAAATATCAGAGCTAATCTTCACTTAAAAATTCCATATTTAAATACCCTTGAAGAGCAAACAAAACAATAATATTTAATTAGGGTATTACAATTTTAATTCATGATGAACATCAAACAAATCTTCATGGGTCCCTGACAAGAACAAAAATTAAAGTCACTCTAAATATTAACTACACTTAGAAATGGCAGAGAGACATACATTACTTGTGAATGTGCTCCACCTTAAACATTATATACTCTTTATATACACACATACATATAGTGATTCATGCTGACATTTGTACATGAATATATTACATTCAGTAGGATATAAATAGGCTGAAGGTAGAGGTACAATATTTATTTTAACTTTCTAGGAAGTATGATGGAAGTATGAAGATCCTTGACCTTCTATTAACTCAATGAGAAAAAAGTCCAATATCTTCCACCACAAAGTGAAGACTGTTAGATCTCACTTTACAGTGAAAAGAACAATTTGTTTTCTAGAATAATAGCCTATTGAAATATCACCTATCAGCTTTGTAAAAGGCACGTTGTATATTTATATTCATATATGTAAATAAGGTCTTCTAATAATAATATAGCAATTATATATAACGATATAGATATATAACTGATGTGTGTGTGTGTGTGTGTGTGTGTATATATATATATATATATATATATATATATATATATATATATGTATATATCACTTTTGTTAGTGGTGATTCTCCTAACCAAGGAATCCTTGCACCTGGAGCTTACATTGGGCAGTACTGTTATTTGGAAAGTAAAATAATTATATTTATACAGTGATGCTATAAGCCATTAAATTAAGAAACACAGATAAAGCCCTCCCACCAAAAAAAAAATATATATATATATATAATTACAGTAATGTGTCTTTGCATGATTCTTTCTCTTTAGGAGCTGAAAATAAGGGAAAGCCTAACCTCCTTGGCCCAGATTGGAACTGTATGCCTCAAATGACCACCTTCATTGGCGAAGGGGAACAAGAAGCTCAGATAACATATATAGATTCAAAACAGAAGACAGTTGAGATTACAGACAGCACCATGTGTCCAAAGGACCACCGGCACTTGTATATAGACAACACCTATAATCCAGATGAACTTAACCAGCAGTTGACACAGCCTGGTGATGCTCCCTGTGAGGCAGACTACAGAAGTCTAGCCCAGCGGTCCCTGATGACCCTCTCAGGACCAGAAACTTTAAAGAAAGCACAGGAATCTCCGAGAGGAGCTAAAGTGTCCTTTATTTTTGGAGATCTTGCCTTGGATGATGGTATGAGTCCCCCAACTCTTGGCTATGAGAGACTGTTAGATGAGAGTCCAGAAATGCTGGAGAAGCAGAAGAATCTCTACATCAGCAGTGCCAATGACATGAAGAACCTGGATCTCGCTCCAGACACAGAGAGCATCCAGTTTGTGGCAAATTCTGTTTATGCAAACATAGGTGATGTGAAAAATTTCGAGGCCCCTGAGGGAATAGAGGAGCCCCTCTTGCATGACATCTGTTATGCAGAAAACACTGATGATGCAGAGGACGAGGATGAGGTAAGCTGTGAGGAGGACCTTGTGGTGGGTGAGATGAACCAGCCAGCCATCCTCAATATGTCTGGGTCAAGTGATGACATCATTGACCTCACGTCCCTGCCTCCTCCGGAAGGCGATGACAATGAGGATGACTTCCTGTTACGTTCCTTGAACATGGCCATTGCTGCACCCCCACCTGGATTTAGAGACAGTTCTGATGAGGAGGACACTCAGAGCCAGGCAACGTCCTTCCGTGAAGACAAGGAGCAAGGCAGCAGCCTGCAAAACGATGAGATCCCCGTGTCCCTCATCGATGCTGTGCCCACTAGTGCTGAGGGAAAGTGCAAGAAGGGATTGGATAATGCTGTCGTTTCCACGCTGGAAGCTCTAGAAGCTCTATCTGTTTCAGAAGAACAGCAGACCAGTGACAATTCAGGTTCTTTCACGATTGTTACATTTATTCACTGATAACTGTGTCATTCCATCCTTTCGAGCCATTTGTCTTTGGAGTCCTGTTACGTGGTATTCTCCATTTCACGCATTGTCCCATTTCATAAATATGCTGAACTACCATCACGGGGTTTTTTTTGTGTGTGTATGTGCTTTCTTTGTTATTTTTAAACCATATGGCACGTCCCCCACCCCCATTTCTGGAACAACTGTGCAATAAATTCAGAGTCCTTACTGAAAAGGGAAAAACTTGGTTTTGTTTTTGTTTTTTTAAAGAATAATGAGTCCCATTTTCTTACATGTCTCCAAGTGCCTCTGATACATCCATTAATTGCTTCTTGTTTTTTACGGCATGCAGGTGTAGCCATCTTGCGGGCTTATAGTCCTGAGTCTTCGTCAGACTCGGGCAATGAAACTAATTCTTCTGAAATGACTGAGAGTTCTGAACTGGCCGCAGCACAAAAGCAGTCAGAGAGCCTCTCCCGCATGTTCTTAGCCACTCATGAAGGCTACCACCCCCTCGCAGAAGAGCAGACAGAGTTTCCCACCTCCAAAGCTCCTGCAGGGGCCTTGCCTCCAAAGTCCTCCCACAGCCTGGCTGCTCGCCCAGTGACCGACCTTCCGTCCAAAGTTGTGCCTTCCAAGCAGATACTTCACTCGGACCACATGGAGATGGAGCCTGAAACCATGGAGACCAAGTCGGTCACTGACTATTTTAGTAAACTGCACATGGGGTCGGTGGCATATTCATGCACCAGCAAAAGGAAAAGCAAGCTGGCTGAGGGGGAGGGGAAAGTCCCCACAAGTGGAAACATGCCAGGAAAAAAACAGCAGGGAACCAAAACCACAGAGATGGAAGAGGACGCCAAAGGGAAATTTGGTACTGTGTCTTCGAGGGACAGTCAACACCTCAGCACTTTTAATCTAGAGAGAACTGCCTTTCGCAAGGACAGCCAAAGATGGTATGTGGCCCCTGAAGGTGGGGTCACAGAGAAAGGTGGACTGGAAGCAGCAGCTGGGCAAGCCTTTCCCAGAGCTTCTGGTCTTGGGGCAAGGGAGGCCGAAGGGAAAGAGGAAGGGGCTCTTGATGGAGAAGTGAATGATGTTTCAGGACTTGGCCAAGGGGACCGCTTCTTAACAGATGTGGCCTGTGTGTCTTCAGCCAAAGACTTAGATAACCCAGAGGATGCTGACTCACCCACCTGTGACCATTCCTCCAAGCTTCCAGAGGCGGAAGAGGGTGTGGCCCGCCTTTGTGATTACCACTTGGCCAAGCGGATGTCATCCCTGCAGAGTGAGGGCCATTTTTCTCTACAGAGCTCTCAAGGCTCTTCAGTGGACACAGGCTGTGGTCCAGGCAGCAGCGGCAGTGCCTGTGCCACTCCTGTGGAGTCGCCCCTCTGCCCCTCCATGGGAAAGCACTTGATTCCAGATGCTTCTGGGAAAGGCGTAAGTTATATTCCTTCAGAGGAGAGAGCCACTGGCCTTCCCAACCATGGAGCCAACTTTAAGGAACTGCACCCACAGGCAGAAGGGATGTGTCCGCGGATGACAGTGCCTGCTCTGCACACAGCCATTAATGCCGATCCCTTGTTTGGCACTTTGAGAGATGGATGCCATCGGCTCCCCAAAATTAAGGAAACCACAGGTACAGCAATGATGGATTTAGTGCTTTGCAATACATACCAGGACCATGTAAACCATATTTATAACAAACCTAAAAATACAACATCTGAAAGGTCAAAGGTAGCCAAAAATGGCCATAGAAATGTTAAATAGCAATCCTTGATCCCCCTGGTAGTGAATAAACTGTTAAGTTTCTAGGTCTGGAACAAGAGTGAAAATGGAATTTGCTCTTTATAATTTGTTCTGCTCTTCCTTTAAGAATTTGATGGAGCACTATTTGTTTTCTAAATTCTAAATGCAGACTTTTAGCAGGGCCCAGTATAACTTTTGGTTATAAGATAGTATTGATTTGAGTCATACAACAATTTGATTTCCTTCTCAAGATATCTCATTTCCAGTTTTCCCATTTTGTTACTGAGAGACAAAGAAGGATAACAGAGAAGAATATTAGAGAGACTGGAGGGGTTCTGAAAGATCATTTGCCTTCCAGGAAATTTACAGATTCTTTCCTTCTCTGGACAATTCCCCTAAAGGAATATTCTGAAGTATCTGGTATACCACAGTTAGGAAGATTTGGGGGGTATGCATGATGAGTTGCTTTATTTTCCCAAAAATAATAAAATCTAGACACAGGTAGAACCAAGAATCTAGCCACATTCTGTACCTACCTTCACTGTTCTGCTTTCCACATAGTGAACACATATGTCTCTCATCAATACACATGGCTGGCCATCAGGTAGCAAAAGCAGATGCTCCTTTATACTTTCTTGTTTCAAGTTATATCAGTAGTGTCTTTTCCATATTGGTCAATAGATATATAGGTTAGTTTATATTCCTGTTCTTAAAAACACCTTTTTAACTCTTACAACTTTTCTATTTTTACAAAATCTACCATTGGCCATGCTTACCTGTGTAAACTAACCTGTAAATGATACCTAATTCCCATCACACAACTGCATTTTTTTTTGGTACTGGGTACAAGGGTCCTTAAATATAGAGCCAGGTCTCCATTCCCCTGCCTTTTAATTTTTAGGCAAGGTCTCACTAAATTGCTGAGTCTGGCCTTGAACTTGAGACCCCCCCCACCTCAGCCTCCAGAGCTGCTGGGATTACAGGCATGCACCACTATGCCCAGTTACCCAACCATATCTTTCCCTCTAAATTAATTGAAACACACTCTTTAATCCTTCATGGTTTATGGAGCGTTTTTAACTAAGTTACCTCTTGCTCTTCTTCACATGAGAGCTTTTCTTAAAAAAACTTGAACAACTTTCCCACTGTCTTTAGACCCTATACCAGGCAAACCTCAAACCTCATTCTGTCCTCTTAGAAAAGTTAGATGAATTAATTTGCATTAATGAATTATTTTTAAAAAGGTAACTGATGCCAATTCCAGAAAAATCCAACTCCTTTGAAATGAAACTTAAATATTTTATGTTTCAATAATCTAGAAACAAAATGTATATTTTCTAAGTATGTTTCTAAACTTCAATAGGTTTATTGGAAGCAAGGGGGTTCATGAAATACCATTGTCTCCTGGAAAATGTTTGTGATTGTTAGACAATTTCCAATGAACTAGTAGTTCCAGAAATGACAGATTCCAAGTATTTTTTGCTCTTCATTGAAATGGAAATCAGTTATGAGTTATCAGGAGTTAGTCTTTGGAAAACAGGATGGCCCTAACATATGGCAGGTCTTCTATAATGCATCCTTGGGAAATGACAGACATCATGTAGAGATGTTGGGAAAATGGCTACCCAGGAGATGCTTAATGAATCTCTCTGTTTTTCTACTACCCCTAGTGTAGCTTTGACAGAGCCTGGGAAGGAGAGACGAGGAGGCATGCCTTCAGCTTGGTCTCAACATCCTGAAGTTGATCCCATCCTGCTACCATCAAACATTCACTCGGAATCAAAGGTGCCAATTCCAAATCAAGACCCTAATGATTTCTCCCAAGCAAATCAGGCATATGGAGAGTCTGTGAGCTGGCGGCCACCAGATCTGAGAGGGGGGAGCCTCAGGACACCCCCCAGCCAGAGGGCTCTCAGGCATAGCAGCAGTATCCTCTCAGGATCCATAGCATTGGAGACCTTCCGAGAGAGAACCAAGGGTGCGGTCAGCTTGAAGTATCCAGGTATCACAGAAGCACAGGAGGCCGGTTCAGAAAGGCGAGCAGAACTCCCTCTGGGGAAGAAGCTCACCAAGAGTTTTTCCCAAAGCTCAATGCACTTTAGCCCCGAGGGGAAGTTTCACAAAAGGTCCCCAGTGGTTCACAAAGACTCAAAGCAGTATAGAACATTACCCTTGCGGAAGATGGAGGGTAGCAGTTGGAGATGCCGAGGACCTTTCAGCTACTGTTTCCTTAACCGAGGGCAGGATGAAGATGGTGATGAAGAAGAAGAGGAGGGAGAGGCCACCCTTCGGGTCTCTTGCCTCTATCCACCCCAGATGACTCACGCCATGCCAGTACCAACCAGTCCATCCCTGGCTGTTGGGATTTGGAAGAAAGGAGGGGAGCTAACCAGAGGGTCAGTGCTGAAAGTCTGGTCAGAAGACCTGAATGGCCCAGATGACTTGGACTTCAGCAATCTGGCTTTTGATGCCCGGATTGCAAGAATAAGTGCACTAAAGGAGAGCACATACACAATGCCTGATGGGTTCCTTGCAGCCCAAAATGATGCCAATGAGCTGCTTTGCCTTGTCAGGGCAACTAAGGGGAAGAGAGAGGAGTCACGCCCTGAAACATATGACCTTACACTTTCTCAGTACAAGCAACTGTTATCCATCGAGTCCAGACAATTGGGAAGTGCCTGTAGGAAAATGGCGATGGCCGAGAAAAGTCCAGAGGAGATGCTTCTAGCTATGACTTCCAGCTTTCAAGTGCTCTGTTGCCTAACAGAAGCTTGCATGCGATTAGTTAAAGTCGTGAACTCAGAAACACAGCGGCAGGAAATTGTAGCAAAGATCGATGAAGTGGTCATAAACTACATATGTCTCCTGAAAGCTGCAGAGGCAGCCACTGGAAAGACCACTGGGGATCCTAATATTGGACTCTCAACACGACATTCAACCACCATGGCCGCTCTAGTAAGCACACTAACACGTTCTCTCAAGATGCTTTTAAATAAATAAATAAATAAATAAATAAATATGAAAGTCACGTCATAATCTACCTTTGCAAAGCCATACATGAACTTTTATTTACTTTATGTGTACGATGAACAGATGTCTCCTTTCTTCTCTCTGTATATTTTGTTATTTTATATAAAATAGGAGATAAAAGTTACATTGATGAAATGTTGAAACGTCCTTATCAAATGTATTCTGTTTATATTATACATATATATATACACATGTAAAAGAAATATACGAGAAAGTGATGACATTTGGCTATTTTTCATATAGCCAAAACTCCAAGTATATGATGTGAAATTTTAAATTCTACCATGTTAGAACAAAACAAGAATCCTATCCCCTCTCCTTCCAAGCAGATACTTGGGGACCATATCATTCATATTTAGAAGTAAAAACCAAAAGCAAAAATAGAAAAGAAATCACAATGTATATAAACAGTACTTATGTTTTAAAATTATGATTTTTAAGCATTGGAAATAGCGAAAAGACATTTAAAATTCGAGAAGCTATTATAAATTACTATAGAATATATATAATAAATTAATTTTTTGCTCATAGTGTTTGGTTATTGGATGCTTTCTTCCAACAATCCCACATATTTAATTTTGGTTTATGCTATTTGGGCTGCAGATGGGGGGGGGGTGGATTCTGCTGTGTCAACACAAATGCTCTTCACAGTGCTTCTAGAATTTAAAAAAAAAAAAAATCCCATATAGAAGAACGGAGAAAATGATGGGCATGTTCCTAGGTAGAATTATGGATTATCTAATTGCACAAAATGAATGGAATCAATAATGCCAAAATTGAATACTGTAGTGAATAACAAGTTCTGCTTTGACTAAATGTCAAAATACATAAACCAAAGACTATCTTCCCCTCACCCTGATTCATCCATGAAGCTCAAAATTTTATTTAGAGTCACAGGTCATTTGGTAAAGTATTTGCAAAATTACAAAAAAAATGGTCATGAAAAGTAAGCACAGACTCAGTAATGTAAACCAGACCACACAGTAGCGCCTGTGAGTGAGACACATTTCAGCTCTCAGCAGGGCTGTGCATAGCACCTCCTCTACAGGGGTCAAGATTGCCAATCAGCCTAATACCGGGACAGAATTTCAAATCTGGAATGCTCCAGAAAACCAAGGAGAGACGGCTGCTCTAATAGTAGAAGCCATGATTAAATAAATAATAAAGTATTTATTAAGTACGTACTTACTCTGGTATTTGTCTAACATGCACAAGGCCCTGGGTTCAATCCCCAGCACCAAAAAAAGAAAAAAAAAAGTATTTAATCTGGATTGGCTGATAGAAATAAGAAATCTGAAAGCAAACAAAACTGCAGAAGTGATAAATTTGACCATTTCAGGTGAAACCAATGGAATTCAAAGATGTTTGCAGAACTATCATCTCTCTAAAAATATATCTATAGGTCAAAACAAATGGATACAAACTCTGCAATTCATAAATTAAAATTGATTTTGTACATATGTATTTCCTGGGTCTCTCAGTGTTCAAACTATACACACTCTTATTTATGTAAGTGGCTCCTTGGAATATGACAGAATACCCAGTACAAATATTTCCATTTTGTAGCCTACTGGGGAGGAGTCATAACACAATCCATGATTGCTATCTCTCTCTACTGAGCCATTCCACAGAGACTCAACAACAAAAGCCACACCACATGTTTATAGATGGCAGAAAATGAAAGGAATTTAGGCCTGTGTTATTATAAATAATGTTTAATTCAATAATAAAACATTATTTCATTATAATTATAAATATTGGTGTTTTGATATTGAGAGATATTAGTGGTGTTTACTGTGGAAAATCCTAGTAAATATTCTGTGTACTAAAATACTAACATTAATAGGATGTGTGTTCTATGTCAGACAATGTGCTATACATTATCATATATATTATCTCATTTAATCTTCAGAACAATCTTATGGTTTGGACACTATCATTAATTCTTTCTGGTTTAGTAGTTAAGCATATGGGTTTGGGGATCAAAAACATCTTTACTTAAATTTTGGTTCTGCCATTTTCTAGCCCTTTCATCTTTGGAAAGCTATTTTTTTCTAAGTCTCAATTTCCTCTTAGTAATATGGAAATCAATAATAAGATCTATTTCCATAGGGTTGTCACAGTTTTAAATAAAATTATGTATGTAAAGTTCTTACCACAATATCTGGCAGAGAATAAGTACTCAATGTTAGATATTATAATCAGCATAATTATTGTGTTAAATATATTGCCCAAGATAATATGTGGGGGAATGTTTGTTTTATATGCATATTGTATCCTGTGTGCAGAACACATTATGTGAATTGCATATATATAAAAAAAGTGTACAAGGAAATGATGACCCTTGTTCAAATCGCATTTGTAGTTAGAACAACTTCCTAGTCAATTCCAGTTCTTTGAGAAGCCTCAGGGAAATAGCTCTGGGTCTTTCTAATCAATCTCCCATTACCTATGGCTGCTCCAGTAAGTTTCTGTTTCTTATAAACAAATTCTTTACGACTTGGAAAACCTCAAGGGCCCCCCACTCCTTCTTTGAGCATGGGGCTCCTAACTGGTGTCCAGGTCCACTAGAGTATAGGAAGAACATATTAGAACGAATATTTGTGTTTATTTTTATCTAGCTTTTTTATGTTTATGTATGTTTTATAATGGCATAATAGTACAGTGGTACATGTACAAAATTTTAAATAAATAAATGAATGAATAAATAACTAAGCATATGCCTGGTGCATGCATGCAAAAATATTGTCGCAGGTAGGATCGCATTCACTAAGGTTTGGAGAGCACTAAACAGGAGAACAAAACCTCCTTGCACTGGAGTTCTTTGCATTTAGTCCCCAGCCTATTTTCAAGTGTGTCACCTACCATTTTTATTAATCTCTCATCGTAAAACTTTCAAACATATACAAAGTAGACATTATCGTTCAAGGAATCAATATGGATTCATCAGACACCAACAGCTGTCCAGTCTTACTTCTCTATTCTACTCACCTCTTTCTGTACTATATGATTTAGGAGCAAAGTTCAGACATCATAGCATTTTTAATCCATGAATATTTCAGTAAGAATTTCCTATAGATAAAAACTTTTGTACAAATATCCTTTTTTACATTTGAAAAGTTAAGAATTCCTTAGTATTATTCAATAAAGAGTACAGAAATAAATGATAGAGGAAGTGAAAGTCCCCTATAACCAAACCACCAGAGAAAGTCATTGTCTACAACTTGCGGCATTCTTTTTCAATGCTATTCTTTACATATATTAGTGTTGATATTATTATCTTATCTATTTATGAGTTTAACTTTGGACTCAGAGTTGATCTGACCACATTTGCCTTTCTGCCTGAGTCTCATTTCATCCCATCATACTTCATGTAGGTGGAAAGAATTGTCCAGAAAGAATATAACTGATGTGGAAAGAGAGACTGTTCAGATGAACAACCATGATGGCATTCGGCTTCTAGTGAAATCCAACATTTAAAGCAATTTCTTACTATATTAAAATTAAAACATACTCTACTGATTCTAGGACCAATAGGAATCAGTCTAATCACAAAAGATTATTTTCCAGAAAAATGAATACAAATAAAACTTGAAATCACCAGCTGCAGCAACACTATAATGACTCAATTTCTTTTGCTATGACTTTAATCTTTCAACATGATATGTCTTAGAAAGACACTCTTCATTTGTTTATGTTCCACTTTCAAGTATTTAAATGCCAGGTGTTAATTATCTGAATGCTATTTTCTGAACTACTCAGAATGTTGCTCTAATTTCTTATGCCTGGATCCCTTTTTGTTTTTGTTTTTGATCTGTTGGGGGTGTGCTGGGACTCAGACCCAGGGCCAGGGCCTTGTGCATGCTGAATGCTAAGCAAGTGATTTTCCCCAGCCCTGTTTACATTAGTTTTGATTTGGTAATGGAGGTAGTTTGCTCTCTTGAACTGTTTATTGTTCATTGAGATTCTGTTAACTACTCTTCCTTACATTTTGGGGGTTTTTAAATCTTGGGTTTTTTTGCAATGCTCAAGGCAGAGGGCATGCTAGGCAAGTACTCTACCACTTAACTGCATCCTCAGTCCTGTGTTAAAGATTTTTGAAATTGAACAAAAAAAAAAAAAAAAAGAAGCAAATGTCCATGAGCATTAGAGTAAGAATCTATGTTCTTACTGATCTCCATCCCTATCACTGAAGAAAAGAAATCTTCATGGGGACCAATACATATGAATATTAAAATTGGTTTTCTCTAATGTGATTTTGTCTTTACTTTGAAAGGGGTCAATTTTGACCTCTCTCTCTCTCTCTCTCTCTCTCTCTCTCTCTTTCCTTCTCCCTCTCCCTCCCTCTTCAGATTTAAATTTGGCTTTGTGGAGGGCTTTAGTGATACTTTATCCTCTTCCATTCTAAAAACTATGAAAAAAATTTAGGTATAATATACCATTGTAGCAATACCTGCTCAGTTTTGAAAAATCGGAGAGTAGTAATCTTACCTTTTGAACTGAATTTTTATTCTTAACAACTTGACTCTCGCTAAACTGAATACTTTTTGCTTATTCCAGTTACTCTCTAGCCTACCTATCTCATCCTAATTTCAAAGCCTACACATAGGAAATTCATGGAAAACAATCTGTGTCTATCAAACAGTGTTGCCTCACAAAATAATGGAATGAATTAAATTCTGCATCACTGAAAGAAATAATCAATTATCCCAAGTAGCTTATGAAATTAGCCTGCTGACTTCAGCTGAACTTTCCACCACATTTAGAATTGCATCTCAATTTTCTTTTACACATTAATTTTAAAGCCTTGTATTTGTTTTGTTTTTATTCTTCTTGTTCATTTTCATTTTTCTCTCTACAGTCTGGACCAAAATTCTGTTCCATTGTGGTATCATTATTCACAACTACAGGAAGAATTAGCTTTTGCTAGTAGATAGACATGGGATAAGAAGTTTAAGAGCTGAACTTTCTTGATAGTGTCCAATCAAGTACTATTTCTACTGTTTTCATTTTGATTAGTACCTGATGCCTATCTTGAGCTTTCATTAATGATCAATGACTCCTTTTTGTCTACTTCTTGAAGAGGCAGGATGAGTCTATTCATTCATTCAATAGTTATTAATAACTTCCTAATCTGGCAAATATCATGCTAAGTGCTGAAGGCAGGTACAAGGATGAATATGATTGACGTGGTCACTGCCAAAGATGGGCACTCGCCCATTCTAGGATGGAAAAAACCCGTGCCATTACCCAAGAAAAGAGGAGTTCAGAGTGAGTCAGAGTTACTAACAGTTGGGCTGGTGTTGTGGCTCAGTGGTAGAGCACTTGCCTAGCATGTGTGAGGCAATGGGTTTCTCAGCACCACATATGAATAAATGAATAAAAATAAAGGTCCATTAGGAACTAAAAAAATACTTTAAAAAAAAGAATTACAAACAGTCCTCCTTTTCATGATAGTGCAGGACTAGAAAACTGATCATGTGTGACACAACTGCAGATTGATCTTACTAATCAATGAGAAAAAAATTACAGCTGTTCCATGACCTACAATAATTTTTCTCAAAAATTTAAATACTCTTTTATTGTCAGTTACAAATATACAGGGACATGGAAAGGTATAGTGAACTGGATGTTTATCTAATACAAAATAATTTAAAATATTGGAAACCTTGAGAATTAAAATGAGTCTTTTTTGTAAAAACTTAACAAGAGAGTAGTTTAAACAGTGCTTGCTTTTATTTACTGTATAATTTAAAATATAGACAATCATCTATTCTATGATTTGGCAAATTGGTATACTCTTTTCTATACATTGTTTTATTTTTTGCAGTGCTGGAGATAGAACCCAGGGCTTCATGCATGCTAAGCAAGCACTCTCCCACTGAGCTCCATCCCCTGCCCCTGTCACACCTCTTTCTAAATTTGAATCCTCTTCAAGCGTTTTATCATTTGTGCTTTTAATCTTGGGAAATATCTCTGAGAGTTCTTTTAATGTGCCACATTGTATTTTTTTCCACTGTCACTTTCTCTGAGACAGCTTCATCTTTCCATCATAGTGACTCCTAATTTGCATCAATACATTCATTTTCACTGCATCTCACTGGCTATACATCTATAGTCTCAGATGAAGACACTCTCATCCCTACTGTCAGCTACATATTTGATTACTCTGCTGACACTGGATTTTAATTCAATTTCAGGCATCATCCCTTTTTGTTTCTTTGCAAAAAAGAAGGCAGCACAACTACCTGCTCTGCTGTCTGTGCATGAGCTGAACATTAGATGCTCAGTGAGCAATGGCTGGTATCCTTTGAAAGAAGTGACGTGATTGGTTGCTCACCATCAGGCACATATTTTATTTATATAGTAGTTCTGGGACTGAAGAACTAACAAGAAAGTGTGTATTTTACAAAATTACTCAGTTAACATATCACAGTAACTGAAATTTAGACCATTTTGTTGGGGACTGGTGATTAGTTAAATCATAGTAATTGAAAACCATGCGTATCAGAACCACAAATAATGATTGCGTGTACTAAGCTGTTTGGAAGGTCTAAAACTCCGGCCTGGGGCTGGGACTCAGTGGTAGAGCATTTGCTTAGTGTGTGTAATATTTGATTCCCCCCCCACACACACACACGCACAAGTAATTAAATAAATAAAACGAGTGATAAAATAGCATTTGGCATTATCCAATAGAATTTTCTGTAACTATGGAAAATTCCAAAATCTGTAATGCTCAATACAATAGCAAATAATAATATGTGACAACAGGGTATTTTCAATATGACCAGTGTGACTAAGGAACTGAGTGTTTATATAATTTAGTTTAAATACCCACATGAGGCTATTGGCTGCCATATTATACAATACAGTTTTAGTGGGCAAACAGATTTTTTAAATTAGAGAAAAACAGAATAATTATAAATTATAAGTTCTAAGAAGGAAATTGAAAGGCTTCAGAGGAAGAGACTATATAAGTCAGGGCTTTGTCTAGATTTGAGAGAAAGAAACTAACCCTGATCAGTTATCATACATGACAACCATTTCACACCAACCTGCTGAACACATTTAAATGGTATATGTAATAAAGGCAGTAGAAAATAAAGATTCCCTCATTTGAGCAGAAGTTTGACTTACCAAAATCCTTTCATGGCCCTTAGTAAGTTCTAGATCAAAAGACAACTGATCACCTCCTCAAAAATGCAAACACACACACACACACACACACAGAAAGACTCAAACACACTTGTTTTCAGCTATGCCTTATATGATGAGGCATGATTTATGTGGACAACTATTCCTTCCTCAAGATTTGAACATCTGCTGTAAATTTTTCCTACACGTTAATTTGAAAATTATTGGCAAGTGTATTAGAAAATAAGAAGCCTTGTGGCAAAAAGTGGACTAACAGCCAACAGAGCATTCTGTTTCCTAAAACACTTCCTTCCTAACACAGTCTGAAACCACAACAGGCCCCAATTCAGGGCCTTAGCTTTGCTCTGCTCTGTCTTCCTCTTTCTACCTGTTCTTGGACCCAACTTATTCTTGGTTGAATTTCAAAACTACTCCCAAGTTCATTCAGGTGTGGACCAATACATTCTGCCTAATGTGTGTGTGTGTGTGTGTGTGTGTGTGTGTAGTATAAGGGAGACCCAGGGCCCCATAAGGTAGCAACTAATGTTTTGGTTGGGCTTTATTTCCACCCGAA